CGATTTATATGTTTTTATGGATAAGGATCCCGAATTCCATATCAAAATGGAGGTACAGCAAGTTATTCAATGTTAAATAAGTAGAACGACGCCGACAGACGGCCCGAAAATAACATAAAATGCGCGGTACGCCTCGCCCGCGCTGCAGGACATGATTTTAATAAAAAGATAATAATTATAACAAGTGCGATACGTCTTTTTATAGGTTTCTTGGGGTGGAGATTACAATTTTGATGTCAAAGTATGATCCCACATATCCCAATGTGTAATTGTGCAAATAACTACTAATATCAAAGCAAAAGTTTTGGTTAGTAATAATTTTCACAGTTACAATATTAACTTTTTTTCAGCATTTGTTTTTTCAGGAACATTGATATAGGGGAAGTTTTGAAATACGAACTATCTTCGGCGCCTCCTTCAATGTTTAATGATGATAGATCGATGAAGGAAGCATCAACAAAATCGGTTCTTATGAATTCACTGGCTGTTTCCCAGTCTATGAGACTAAATACTAGACCATCATTAACAATAATTGATGGATGTGCAATGCTTTGGGTAATACACTGGCCAGTTCGAGGAACGGTTTCTGATTACATAAAATGATTTGTTTTATAGCAGACATTCCATGGCATGACGGATATTGGCGTAGTTTTTGTATTATAAAATTCCATGGCATCACAGATTATTGAAAAAGATGGGGGTGCTATTTCTCCAATTTTCCGTCTTTATTATGCAAAAAAATGGAAAACTAATACGGTTGATTGACGTAAAAAATTTGTTTCTACAAAAAAACCTTAATACATTTTTGCTCTAAAATAATTTGGGGAATTCAACATAAAGAAAGACCAAATTACTAAAAACGGTTTCCTAATATAACAATTTACAATTAATGTTCGAATAAGTAACCATTAACTGCAATACTGTAACCAAGTCGATCATAAAATCCATTTCGAACTGCTACTAATTGCGATAACTGGATATTTTTTGTTTTAGAAAATTCCATGGCATCGCAGATTATTGAAAAAGATGCGGGTTTTATTTTTCCAATTTTCCCTCTTTATATGAAAAAAATTAAAAACTAATACGGTTGATTGGCGTAAAAAAATTTTTTCTACAAAAATCCTTAATAGATTTTTGCTCTAAAATAATTTGGGGAGCCAATAATCGCATGTTATGAATTTTACATTGAAATCCCTATAATGTGTTTCGCAAGTCACCACCCTGTATACTGCCTTTCAACATTTCGATTTTTCCTTTTGCGTTTGAGGTAACCCGTAAGGTTTACCATAAATTGGACCTGCATTTGGCCAAGTAGGAATTTTGTGCGTGTGTAACAGTTAATTTATCATCTTCTAAAAGGAAATCATCACTTTACGGCAGGCAACCCACCCTTAATCCGGGCTGCCGATAAGTTTTCTCCGGCCCGCTAATATAATTCATAGTTAATACTTCATACGGCCCGCCAAGTTATATTACAAATTCGAATTAATTAATTAATTATGATTATTTTACACGTGCAGCATCTAGTCACTAGTGGATGCGATCGTTTGAAAGCCTCTTTGAAGATGCATTTCTTGTTTCACAGATATCGCCAGGTATTTTCCAGAATTTTCGTCGCGATATATATCGGGTGGGACAATAAAATGATACGTGTTTTGGGATTCGGCAACATTTTTAAGCCATATATTGCAACAAATGAAAATTTCTGGTAACTTGGTATGCAAAATCGTGTCACAATTTTCAAGAGTATTAATTTTTTTAAATGATTTTTACGAAAGCAAAAGATATGGCAACTTTAAACATACTTTTATTTGGATTTTCAACTTTGGCCCGTGGCGCATGTGAAAAATTTTATTTTGGCCCCATCCCTGCTACACGGCTTACAAATTTCAGGGTAAGAAATCCTTTTCTTCTACATTTAGGTGTTGAGTACGTAACGAATTTAATAAGGTTTCAATTCCATTTCCTTGTACTTCCCCATTTCCCTTATACTATTTACTTATACAAATTCTAAATCTTTTAGTTCTATTATTGGAGGTTTTATGTACTCATCCTGCTCTGAAATATTAAATAACTTCACGAATTATTTATTGCCTCTGTTAAACAATCATATATGAAATGGAACAACAATTTCCCTTTTGGATAAATAAAATGTTTCATCGACAACTCCTAAGGTTCGGATAGTGGTTTCATTTGTGATACCTTTTATTTTAACAGACCGATTTTTATCAATTTCTTCTATTTGGTTTTTTACAATAAAAACACATAGGCTGGCGTTGCATCAAAACATTTCAGTTTTTTTCACACTAACATAAATTTGAACACGCGAACCGTTAGGTTTAACACTATAGTTTTTATAAAAACAATTTCAAGCTGAATGACCTGTTTTCTTACAAATAAAACAATTTCTTTCATTTGTATATTGATTTAAATTTACCATATAACCAAAATAGTGGTGTGAATCGCGATTACTCAAAAGTGCTCTTGCTTCAATTCTACAGGTGATTCTAAAGTTTTGGGGTTCTTACTTTTTACGTTCACTTTCAAAAGTTCTCGCAATCCATTAACAAACACATTTAACGCTTGTAATTTCAATAAACCACTGACAGTTACCGCTTCTTCTTAGGTTTTATTTACCGTCGCCACCTCTAACAAATTGCTTAAACATTTTTCAATTTAGTTTGAAGATGTATCTAAATTTTCGCCTTTTGACTGTTTAGTTGAATTTCACTCTAAGTGCCAATGCGAAAGAGTTCTCTTTTCTGCAGAAAGTTCTTCTAAATGTTCCTTAACAAATCCCAATTTTGAAAATTTTTGTATTCGATAAAATTGCTAGCTTGACCTGAGACCTTTGTTTTAATAATTTGAAATAGCATATGGGAATCGACTTGCCTAACTGAGTGTAAAATGATCTCACAATTATCTATCCATTCCTAACACTTTCTTTGCTTTCCCGACTGAAATTTCTGCTGCATCTAAACTTACAAACTGTTCCCTACCGGTTGCGTTTATATTACTTGAGCTTTCTTCTAAATTTAAGCTGGAAGCATTATCACTTAGATTATTATTAGGCATATTTTGTAGTTTACTGCTGACTGTTCTACGGAATTTGTTCAAATACAGGGAGAAACTAAGTAATAATTAAGTTACAAAATGATCGTATAAATTTCTGACTGACTTTTAATCTGCTGAAAACTAGGATGAAAATGTGTAAAATCCGAATAGCGAATAGCACAATGCGCCCGAAACTGTAGAAACTTATTTCGCAAACAAAAAACACTGGCACTGACTTTTCTTGGGAATTTTGGGTGTTGGTAATTCGTGATGTTACCAATGTTTTATTATGTACTAATATTTAATACCTTTACACAGGTTACAGGTTACAAAGTTCGCTAATTCTTCTGTTCTGGATTTCAAGATGAACTACCCTATCACAATCACATTAGTTTTTGAAGTAATTTTACTAAATATTTAGAGTAATTTGCAAAGTGGTATAACGTGATTTGGTAGGACAGTCCTCTCTCCTACTTTCTAGTTTAATTCCAAAAATGATGAGAGCCTTATCATCGTTGAAACAGCTAGAAAAGTATTAAGATGGATATCAAAACGATTAAATATGACATTTTCTAGGGAAATCTAGTGCATTAAAAGTACTTCCCACACTCAATTGATGAAAAAACCTCCCTCTCTGTTCACATGCGGTCTCTTCCATTGCATATTGCTGTATCGCTGCACTGCGTATTTACCCTGGTGTTTACAAATACCTTCAATTTTCAGTAGGTACAGTGTCAGCACTATGAAATACCACATTCTACCAATTTATCAACTTTATTTGTTGCAGTGTCCAAACGGGTGCGGAATATTATCGAACTGTATTGTATAATAAATAACACAAAACTTCCATCTATATCTTTCAGGCTACTCGCAGTAAATTTCGCGTTTCACGGAAAAAATACGTAGCCTAAATTGAATAATCGCTTTATGTCAGATGTATCGAATGTCCTTAAAACGCACGTTTAGAATTCGATATTTGCAAAAATTGAATTTCAAATGGCGGTTCGTGTCATTCTAAATAACCCGAGAATTGAAAACCGCCGTATTGAAATTTGCAATTCATCGCAGGAAGTTTTTATGCGATTGTGAAGCTTTCTATTTCTGAAGTCTTAAATTAAAATGGTTACCAATTTGTGTATAATTTTTTATTTACAAGCTGCTTGTCACTTTGGGAGGCAGTTTACATTTTCGTAACGTGCTATACGATATCCCAAGAACTATTGTTAGGTGTCTAGTAATTTCTGCATGGCGGAGTAGGTACTTTAAAAGGTACACCAGTTTAATAACAAACGTTGGAAGGTGCTATTTCGGCCACTTTCTTCGTCCATCCGCAGCCTTTACTCGACAATTTTTGTCTTCAAAATTTGACACAATTTGTTAAGCTCTTTCGAATTACTTCAAGAAATTAAGCTTAAGGTACCATTTGTTAAGCTAAAGAAAAAGAATTTACTAGTTTTGCAGTTAGCAACACAACTTCCCCACTAATTAAGATCTTGATCACTTTAAATAAGTTCTCCTCGGTGAATGATATTCACGATCCCCTAAAATCTAAATGCAATAAAAAATCAAATTAGATCTTAAGTCCTGATGTTTGTTCAGAGCCCCAGTGCCATGTACCTAATTGGAATTTTTATTCTGTATAGTGTCTGGTTAAACAAATAAATAAATAAACTACTAGCACAGATTTAAATATACTATAAATCTGTGCTACTAGTAGGTAAGTAACAACCACCCGGGCGCATTTTGACCTAGAGTTCTGCGCATGCACCAACTCCAAGGGTTACTTAAACTACTGCGCATGCACCAAACCAAACATCACCGTGGTTGTTTTAATTTACATGTGAATTTAGGCACGAGTATTTAAATGATCTATTATAAGAGTCCATCGCGCCATTTATGTAATGTAAGACGTGTGGTAAAATTTCCAACTTTGTTAGTAGAAAAATATGTTTAATTTCTTACTCTATCTTTTGTTTCAGTTCTGACATGATTGTACATAGTATAGGAAATTCTTTAATGGTAATTCTTCCAGAATTAGTAGGTAAAAAATTAACAAATTGGTTTGAACTCGTTAGGCCTCTCATTGCATTCAAATTTGATATGGTAAGTAGTAAATTTTTGTGGTTATAAGTATAATAGAAAAATTTGTTTTTGTTCTAATGCCAATAAAGCAATATCTCAAAGTTGTTTTCTTTTCAGATTCTCAATAGGACAAACAATATTTTTGAACTAGTCACCGCACAACCTATTGTAAATCATAAACCCTATGGAAAGAATAAACGCGAATCGGATATTAACCTGGAATCGGACACCGAAAAAAGAAATTTAAGATTAAAAGGTATTGTAGAAGTTCTATTATCTATCCAAGCAGGTCTACTTAAATCGTTCTGATTTGATTTTGTATCCTTGCTAAAGTTGCTTTGAAATAAGTTGAAAACTGAAGCAGTAGTTATAGTACAGAACAATGGTGCTTATTCTATGAGTATGGGACTTGGGTTCGAAAAGAACGTTTTTTTATAAATTGGCGTTTCGACTTGTTTTTTGTCTAAAAATCAGTGCAAATTTTGTAGTTTCGGCTATTCAAAAGTATGATTTTTTATATATAACTCTCGCCAGGAAAGATTTCCGGTCACAGCACACCTTGTGTCAATTTACAATCTATATTTTTTTTAAGAAGCGAGCGACTTCCGGAATAGGATCGTGCGAATGTTGAATGAAAAGACTTTTCGTTCAACATTGGCACGATCCTATCCTGGAAGTCGCTCACATCTTTAGAAAAACACAGATTGTAGACCGGCATCAGGTCTTCTCTGACCGGCAATCTATCCTGGCGAGCGGTTTATATGACATTTGGAGAAGCTGAATCAAACATTTTATTTTCTCGATAAAGTACCTATAATAATAGTAATACAAAATTATGTGACAGTGGAAGAGGTTCTAACCTGTGCCTCAATTCAAAACTTAGCCGTTGGTGCGATTTAGTTTCTCTCAAAAAAAATTCGAAAAACTCAAATTTTGAGGAAAACAGCGAAATTAAGTTAAGGGCATAACATGTTACATAAAAAAATAAGTGCTTTTCAAGTACCTACTTTCCAAATCCGTGATAAAATATGGGGTGTTCCATTTAAAAACGCAAGTTTGATACTCTGGACTGGAATATAGAGCACGCCCCTGGTGACCAAAAATTTTTAGAAATATGGCGACGGTAATTGTGTACTATTTTGTTGTAAGACTTTTTTCGGTGTCTTTTATGGTATGGGAAATAATAATATATATAATATAATCGAGAAATTCCCTTATACCTTTCGGTGTTGGGAGGAAATAATAATAATAATAGTAATAATAATAATAATCTTTATTTCCTTTGGACATATAAAAATGTATAGGACACGTCAGTTAACAATAACAAACAATATGATCCAAGGGATTTTAGATGCATACAGAGTGTTTCATGAGGAATGGTACATACGTTAATATGTTTATAGATTTGCTCAATTTAAGCAGAAAAATTCTTAAGTTAAAAAAGTAATCGTAAACGATTTACAAAAAGCGCATTTCACTTACATTCATTTCCCATTCGTAAGATGAAATTTCTGTTAAAATGGTAAAAATCTGGTCACAAATAAGAAAGATAGCGTTGCATATGTGCAATCCATTATTTGACGTGCTGCTTTAGTTTCATGAAACACCCTGTATATACACATTTACAATTTTTGAGTGGGTCGCTTGGAAAGTACCGTTGTTAGATTAATGTACCGGTACGGAACGGACATGTCAGCTACCGGACAGGGTTTACGACGAATGGCGAGCTCGCAATGTCACATGACGCTACAGAAACTATGATTTTTTAGCTTCTGTCGATCAACCAAATCGCCAATTGTTGCTAGTTTAATTGGTCTTCTTCTGCAACTGCATTGCTTCCAGAGCTGGGCAGTATTCGATTTTGTAAATACTTTTTAGTATTCAAATACTTTTATGGAAGCAGTATTTGTATTTGTAACTCAAACACTTTCGCAAATATTTAGTATTCCAATACTTCGCAAAGTATTTGAATACTTTGTGAAGTATTCGAATACTTCGCATAGTATTTGAATAGGTACTTTTAAGATCTTCAAATATTTGAGAACTATTTAGAAATGTTTAGGGGAAGTTTCCATTATCACAAAATCAAATATAAAAATCCGATACAACTGTATACCGAACGATCCTGAGAGTGAAACTGTATGACCCGATAGTCTACGTAACTTAAAAACAATAGGGACCTATCTTACATCCTTAAGACCATGTGTACCAATTTTCAAAGCGATCGCACGTTTCTAAACAAGTTATGATGCACACGGACAGACGGACGGACAAAAAAAGATCTGTTTCAAAATCGCTAGAATTAATTTCAGAAAGGTGTACGTGTCATGTGCACGACGTACGATCGCTTTCAAAACTGGTACACGCGAGGGTACACGTATTCTTAAAGATATAACTGATAGAAGAAGGGTCCTGGTACCTCCTATATAGTAATATAATAATAATACGCTTTTCCTCCCCTTAAATTTGTATATAACAATAGAAATATAAAAAAAGCTAACCTCAGGGAAAGGGACTACATTCAGCGCACAAAACGCTGTTTTTCCATGTAGCCCCCATACAAAGTATAACTTGACATTTTTTAAATAGTATTAAGACTTTTAGCTAGTACTATTTTAAATTTGTAATGCATTTGAGTGACAAGTATTTAAATACCTTTTACTGTATTTGAATACTTTTCAAAGTATTCGAATATTTTTTATAGAATTCGAATACCTTTGAAAGTATTCAATTACTTTTGATTTGTCTAAGGTATTTACTATTTAGTATTCAAATACTTTTTGAAAGTATTCTGCCCAGCTCTGATTGCTTCCGTTGCAAAAAACCAGACTGAAATGCAAAAAGTGTTGTAATATCCCTGAAGTGGACTGAGGTATCATTTAATTCCGCGTCAGGAAGTTTATTTGATGTAATGGTATTTTTGCTGCGAGTAAGACGCATATTTCCGACTTGGCAATAATAATCTATACATAACGAGCACCGAAAGGGATCAAGAGAGTTATGTGTACTATCTTTCCTACGACTTAATAAGGCGAGATACTGAAAACTTCATGTCGAAAGTTATTTTTGTGAAAGCGTTTCGAAATTGACAAATTTTGACATTGATTAGAATTTCGAAATGACACTCTTTTAGGCACTAGTGCGTAAATGGGAAAGTTTTAAGCACTAGTGCCTAAAAATAAAAATGACACATTAAAATCAATGTTGTCGTAGGTCTTTTCGTATAAATGTTTCGATTTTTCGGGTACTAACGTGAATAGCGCAGCTTCAGCAGCTTGTTTAATATCCAAAGACTCGTCAGTATCACTCTTTTGAAGTAATTTTTTCGCAAAACTTTGCGGGAAAGACGGCAACACGCTACGTTCAACCTTAACGTCACACTTGACATTAAATAATGCATAAACAATGCCTTAGAAACGGATTTTCTACTTAGTTTCCAAATGTTTAAAAATACTAATAAAATTATAACATTATCAAATTCTCTGCTTTCACAAAAAATCTTGTATATAATTCGTTACGAAACGATGTCTTTTAGTCACTAGACGTGTTGTCCAACTCGGCTTTGCCTCGTTGGACAATTTTCACGTCGCGTGCCTAAAAGACACTCATTTCGCAACTTATTGTATAAATAGCTATTACAGACGCTTGCTTACTACGTTTATGTGTTTCAAATAGCTAGAAAACACACCGCACGTGTACTTTTTTGCTTTCCGTTGCATTTGTGAAATGAAATTTTTATTTTTGAAAATTTGTTATTAAATCCCGCTGTCACAGAAAAGAATTCACTTAATCGCCGAAAAACACTGGTCACTTTTGGCAGGTTTGTTTTCCGTTCAACAATAAAAATGCGAATTCGCAAAATAATTACGCCATTCCTCTTGACAATATTCGCTCCCAAAGCTCAATTTTTCGAAGGTTAATGTGGGATAAAATAATGTCGTTAACTTTCTAGGTCAAATGATCTACATGGAAAGCTGGCAAATGATAATGTATCTGGGAACTCCTGTAATGCCCGATTTAAATTCACTCATATCCACCGGATTGTACATTAACGATCTTTCCATGCACGATTTCAGCAGGTAATAAAATATATTAGCTCGTAACCGTTTCCATTTTGCGAGCTTAACTTCTTCCTAATTTTCCATTTCAGGGACTTGATGCTGGCGGGAACGCAGCAGTCTGTCGAGTTGAAGTTGGCTTTGGATCAGGAACAGCAAAAGAGTAAAAAGTTGGAGGACTCCATGAAAAAGTTGGATGAAGAAATGAAACGAACTGACGAGCTTTTATATCAGATGATTCCCAAACAAGTTGCTGACCGTTTGCGCAACGGACTAAATCCAGTCGATACGTGTGAGGTAATTCTTTCTGGTGGCTTTTACTTTAATTGAACTTTTGTACGGTTTGGGCAATAAAAACAACAAAGTACGGTTCAAATCAATAACACGATTAATGCTTTTTTAAATTTCGAGAGTGAAATATTGCACCTTCCTTTTTGACTGTTAGTCTCTATAAGTTATTTCTTAAACACGTCAGAAGCATAAAACCGAGAGGTTTGTCGAAAATGATGTCCATCGTTAAACTTCATAAAAAATGAGAAGCTTGACCTTTCAGATGTTCGAGAGCGTCTCTATATTGTTTTCCGATGTCGTTACCTTTACCGAAATATGCAGTCGTATACAACCAATGGAGGTCGTCTCCATGTTAAACGCCATGTACTCAATGTTTGATAATCTGACGGAGCGCAATAATGTTTACAAGGTAAGTTTTAATGTGCCAATTGTAAATCGGCTCGTTAATCGGCATGAAATTGCTTTACTACATTTTTATGCACTAATAAAACACCAAGCATTTGTCATGTAATAATTGTACTAAATTCTTTTTTAATAGGAAGAACTTTAGGGCATCGGGTTCTTAATAGCACTATTGCTAAAAAAAAATTTTTTTAACTAGAAAATTGATTTGAAATCACCAAACGATTGGGAAAGAAAATTTTACTAGCACTGGGTGGCAATTGGGTGAAAGGAAAGGATAAATTTCATTTTTCTATTTCGGTGTCACAATGATGATTTTGTACAACTGTTTTCGGCCGAAAACAGTTGTACAAAGACAGTGATTAGGTATAGTCGTTTTTTTTTGGTAACTCATCTCTTTAGTTGGCAGTTACTAGTTAGTACAAGTAGGAACTTCGTTGGGTACTTCCATGTTTGAACTTCAAAATGTCAGTCTTACTACGCTGCCAACCTAAAACTTAACGGCATAAAAAGTGTTCCCAACATAAAACATGTTAGTTCTAATGTTCCCTATATTTTCTGATAATGATTTTATTAATTAAATTGAAGCACCGAAATAGAAAAAATAGTATGAAAAACGCGTGTTACAATGCTTTATTGTAATACTCCTATCTTGCGGACACTCGTGGCTACGCTTCGCGTCGCCACTCGTGCCACAAGATAGTCGTATTACAATAGATTGCATTGTAACACTTGTCTTTCAATATACTATTCTACATTCAGTTAATCATTACAAAATTGAGTACAAAATGAAATCGTCGAAATATTTTTGGTAGTACTTTCTTTAATAGCAAAATAGCATGTACGTAATTAGCTATTTATCTAGTAGCTATCCATTTTTTAATTTAAAAAATGAAATGCACTTTTTGATTATTGTTTCGTTCTTTTTGTTTTGTTTCTGTGTGGTATTGGTGGTTAGAGTTTCGCTGTTTCCCTGTAAGGATTACGAACCGGATGTTTCTGTTTTCCGCCAACCAGGTCGAAACGATTGGCGACGCGTATATGGTTGTTTCGGGCGCTCCAGAAAAAGATAGCATCCATGCGCCGAAAATATGCGACATGGCATTGGATATGATAGATTCAATTCAGGATCTCAAGGATCCGTCTACCGGTAAGTCTGATCATTTGATTTTGGCCACACTAAAGTCACTAACTAAATATAGAAAAGTACCGCAATCCATTGGGCTCGTGTGTTAGAGAGAGAACGCATGATTTTTGCCCAAAAATGGCGGAAGTTACCAGATTCTAGTAACTTTAATGTTAGGGTTTGTTCCACCTGCTTGGAGATATCTGTATATATTTTTATAAAACATGACAGTACTATGAAGTTAGGTTATAAAAAAATTACAGCATTTCAGATTTTATTTGTCAATTTTTTTAAGTTGGCAGCAAATTTGCCCAAAAATGACTGATGATTGCGGTACTTTCTATATCTAGTGACTTTAGGCCACACTATTGATGAATTTTCACAAACTGCTATCGTGTGCTCAGTCCCAGACAATTGCAAATTACGGTTCATTGTATATGTCTTATAATTCAATACAAAACACTGGCGTTTATATTCAATTATAGACCCGCGTAAAGTTAGCCCCCCAACATTAAAATAATGAAACGTCAAATACTGCCTTCTTTTGCACTTTGGTTGCACATTTAGGCACACTTCGAATTTTCGTTTGCACATTTATCTAAAAAAAAATATTGAAAAAACACATTTGGGGGGGGATAACAACATTAACATAATGAAACGTTCAAAAAGAATGCGCATTCCCTAAAAAAAGATTCTGAGAAAATAAGAATTTGGGGATGCCTTTACGATTTTAGCCCTCCAACATTAAAATAATGGAGCGCTGTACATTTCATTCGTTTTCTACTTCCTTTGCCTATATGTAAGCACAAATTTGTCCTTTACATAATTTTAGGCCCTAACCTTAAAATAGAACTGTATATTATACTTTATTCAATTTGACCTCCCTAAAAAAGAAATTAAGAAAATAAATAGGGGAGGGTACATTCCCAATTTTATCGCATGTCACTAAATAAATTTGTACTGATAGATTTTATTTTGTCTATTTCGGAAACGGGGTATTTGATTTCTGTTATAGACCATTTCCGATAACACCTTTATTTCGTTAGTGCTGGAAATTTGTGAGGCGATCTTTATGACAATATTTGTTTTATTAATTTTTGCAAATTTATTTGTAAAAATGTTGGTTTTAATCTCACTTTGGCCGGCCGGCTGGCTGGCTGGCTGGCTGGAGGCAAATGCGGGTCAGTAGAAGAACGCTTGTAAAAAGGCGAGTGTTGTGTCCCAACAAATTTATGTTATTTGTAATTGATCAGATCAAAGTAATAGGGAAAATTAGTGAATTCAATTGTTATGTTTAACGTTCATTACGTCATTATCGTAAATAATTTAGATCGATAAGAGAAAATACACGGGAGTGTTTTAGTAATCCAACTCCAAAACAGCGAGGAGTATAAATTGTAGTACCTACCGGGGTCGTGTAATTAACAACTTTAGGGACTCGGACGGTGCTACATGATGTGGTGTCGGCGACATCTGGGCGCCATCCCCGAGCGTGGTGTGCTAATCTAGAGATTTTTCAGTTTTTGTTTCTACAGTTTTGGTCCGATTGTTTTCAAATTGGTGTCGTCGGTGAGATCTTGTCAATGCACACAACTCCTGCGTGGCGGAATTTTGATTTTTTCCCAGGGATGAAATTAACCACCTTTTGCAAGGCGCGCGTCTTCGAGGGGTAGTCGACTTCGGGCACCCAAAAGGTATCTTCCGCTGCGAATTGTCACGCGGTTTAAAGTTTCTTAAAACTCGAATGGTGGCCTCTCTTTCTCGTGCCGCCAATAGAAGCCCGAGCTATGAGAAAATTGAGTGAAGGTTTTTAGCGAAATCTACAAAAAATGCGAATTGCGGGTGAACGGGACGTCGGAAGTGGGTACCGACAAAGGGAATGTGGTTGCCCCCGACAAGATCTTACCGATGGTGGAGTGAAAACTTCAAACGCGAATTGCGGGTGAACGGGCAGTGGGTACTGACAAAGAGCATGTGGTAGCCTTCTGCCTTGAACAAGCTCTTCTTGATGGTGTCGGCAAAACCGACTAATTACTGATCTGCCACAGAAAAATGCACTGAAGTTCCTCACACGAGGACGTTGATAATTTTTTCTAGAATGCTTTTACAGACATCTTCGAAGGTACGTATGTAAAGGTAGCATAATTAATTAACGGCGAAACTTTAGCCGCTATTCTAAAGGTGTGCGAAACAATAAACTAAATAATTAGCCCAATTGGATCTGTTAAATGTGTGTATGGAAAAATATGCACAGCAGCTAATATAACTATTAATCGTAAAGGTATCCTCCAAATTGTTATTTTTCCAGAATCTTTTTTTAGGGAAATGCGCAAATGAAAAATCGAGGTGTGCCTATATCTGCAAACAAATGAAGTATATATCGTTCAATTAGTTTAATTTGTTGATATCTAATAGTTCAATTAATTTAATGTTGAGTGGCCAAAATTGTGGATTTGGCACCCCCAACATTGCTTTTCCAATATCTCTTTTCAGAGAAATGTGCAAACGAAAAATCGAAGCGTGCCTAAATGTGCAATCAAAGTGCAAACGAAGGAACTATTTAACGTTTCATTATTTTAATGCTGGGGGCTCAAATCGTGAAGTTAGCCCCCCTCCCCATGTTTGTTTTTTCAATATCTTTTTTTTAGATAAATGTGAAAACGAAAAATTGAATCTTGTCACGTTTTGACGTTTAACTTTGAACTTTTTTCTGCCTTGTTTTGATTCCAAGCAATGGTATTACCTTTTTCTCACACTATTTTAATCCCAAATGGAAAAAATGAGATAAACTTACTCTTTGACCAAAAATTGGCTTTCATGTAAAAAGTTCGTATAGTCTGAGAGCTCGGAACGAAATTCATGTCACTGTACCAAAGATTGGTGTCCTTTTAACCAAGGTATGTTAATATCTCGGTTAATACTAATCTTTTATTGCGAGTGTTGCATCTCTGGGGGTTACAATAATGCCCTACAACATAATGCCATTTGCGCGGGATTTTTATACTAAAACCCTGCTGCAATTTTTGATTGACAAATTACTTTTCTTTTTCTTAAGGTGAAAATTGTAACCAGAAAACTGTATCTTTAACAATAATAATCACATATAGTAAAAATCAGATGTGCGCAGACTGCGCAATGCCAACTTTCTTATTTTATGAGATATTTCTTTGAAATCTTAACTGCTTTTAATAAAGAAAAACATAGTCATAGGCATACTGATAAATGCAATGAAAATGCACTAAAGTTACTTGCCTTAGGGCGAAATAGTTATTTGTACAACTCACGGTGGTCTATACCACCGTGGTACAACTAGAGAAGAAAGTGGAGTTTTTTCAACTACGCTTGCTTCTTAAGTTTTACACATAATTCTTTCTGAAACTACAATCAAAATTGAACAATTATATATGGAACGCCGTTTTACTTTTTATTACGAAAGTTTACAATGTAACATTATAAACAACAGTTAATTTTATTTCCCGATTTATTATGTTTGTTGTTTTTATGTGAAACATTAAATATGTTTGTTTAAAAAACTTCACTTAATTGAAATGATGTATGAATTATATAGCAATGTGTATAACGAAAGTTTAACAATACAAATCAACAAACGAATACATAAACGAACAGTAATATAACTAACTAGAACTAATTCAACAAACATAAAAATTTATTCATATTAAATGTGGGATTAAAATTATGAACAAACATTTTAATTCAACAATCATATTAATTCAATTATTGAAGTGTTGTACAAATATTCCCAACAATCATTTTAATTCAACAATCATATTAATTCGTGCTGTTAAAATCGGAAAGCATTATTTAAAATGATTGTTGAATTAAAATGTTACATGAATTAAAATGTTTGTTGATAATTTTAATTCGTATCTGTGATTGTGCGGAAGTTTCAGGAACTATCCTTTAGTGTATTTGGGTACGTGTATACTAGCGCCTAATTAAAATTATCAACAAACATTTTAATTCATGTAACATTTTAATTCAACAATCATTAATTCAACAATCATTTTAAAAGATTCTTTTACTACGTCTAACAATAAAAATTTATTTGTTTGTTGAATTAAAGTGATTGTTGAAAATATTCGGCTTCAATTTTCAAATCGTCGAATTTATATGACTGATGAATTAAAATGTTTGTTGATAATTTTAATTCCACATTTAAAATGAATGAATTTTTATGTTTGTTGGACAAAATCGTTTTATTAATCGAAGTATTTCTTGCAATTCAATTTAATTGTTTGTTATTAATTGTTTGTTGAAATACAGTTTCATATACACTCATTCAATATAACAATATAATTCATTTCACATTTTTATTAAGTAACATTTTTTAAACAATCATATTTAATACGTAAGACAATAACAACAAACGTAAAAAGTAGAGGCATACGATTGACTGTTATTTAAAATGGCACATTGTAAAATTTTGGAATAAAATTGTACAAATATTTTCAGAGAACATTTTAATTCAACAATCATATGAATTCATGCTGTTAAAATCGGCAAGAATTATTTAAAGTGATTGTTGAATTAAAATGTTACATTAATTAAAATGATTGTTGATAATTTTAATTCGTATCTCTGATTGTGCGGAAGTTTCAGGAACTACAGTTTAGTCTATTTGACTACGTGTATACTAGCGCCTAATTAAAATTATCAACAAACATTTTAATTCATGTATCATCTTTATTAATCAACATTTTTTTAATCAATCTCTTAATACGTAAGATAAAAACAACAAACGAAAAATTTAGAGACATAAGATTGACTGTTATTTAAAATGATACATGATAAAATGTTGGTATAAATACTAAAACGGCGTTCCATAATTATAGTATACAATAATGAAGTTTGACACTTAGCAATCTAGATTCGAGTATGTTTCAATTTTAAATGTCATTATTAAGATTAACGCAGCAATTGTTTTTACTTTCCTCACTAGAGAGGAAACTCATATTTTCTTCACCCTTTTTAAAGACGAAAGTAGTTGTTTCTAAAGTAGTTTCAGAAAAACCTTTTTACTAGTTTACCTGTCTTACTTTGGTTTGCTTAAGGGATCTCCTCTAGCTGAAAGTGTCATTACTAAAGGGGTACTTTGAAACTTTAACTGGTGAGCACAATAACAACAACGAAAATAATGAATTTTTGTATATTTATAAAAATAAACACGGAAAATATTAAGGACATTTAAGGATGTGATTACGCTGCTTTTTATAAAAGCAATTAGAAACCGCAACCTAATTTGTTTTATGTTGACAACATCAATTGTGAAGTACCTCTGAATTTGGTTCCATTATTTTTAAATTTAAATGGTAAGATTAAAAAGTCTTAAAAGACTGGTCACAAATTCAGGGGTTTCTTTAGATAATAATACAAATGGATACAACAATAATTTACAGAATTTTCAACAACAGCTCTCATTTAGAGCTTAAATGTTAATAGTAATATTGCTCTTACTTTACTGAAATTGTTATTACAAATACAAGTAAATGTATGAAAATGCGTTTAAGTGAAAGTGCTTATGCGGCATTAATCGCATACGAAAAATTAAAATCAGTAATATGGTTGTAGTAACATCAAACACGAACGCAAAACAGACTAGACTCAAATGAATATTAACGACGCGGCGTTAAGGAAAAAAATAGATGAACTAAATAGAGAATGTTTCTCTCAACCAAAAATTAGTATTAAATGAAGGCGGAAAATATACGCAATATAAAAAGGGGATTTACGCCAGAATAGCTTCTGATCTCTCTGTTAGTCAACATAAGAAATCCCCCGGTTTTTAGGGGGAAACAATTTACTACCCTTACCGCACACATTTACGATTCGTAGGTATTTATCCCGAATTTACCTAAAATGTGGTCTCGATGAGCGGTTCTTTGGGATATTTAAATTGAAAATGGGGTAATTTGCGTAAAAGGGATGGTTTGGTAAAAGCTGTTCGTTTTTATGTAGTGATGCGAACTATACAATTTTATAAAGGACGTCAACGTAAAAAACGGACGCTGATAGCTATATAAGGCAATAGTTCAAACTGCAAATGAATTAATTATTCATTTTGGTGATTTGTTACGTATTTGCTTTAAAAAAAGTAACAATTCGACCAATATTAACCCAGTAGCGTCCGTATAAGGAGCATCCTGAATTACTAATTATTTAGCATTATTATACGCCCAAATAACATAACAGTATATTAAGAAACGACATTCATGTCTAAAGTACACGCAACGAGTTTAAATACACAACTTTCTACTCGAATACGGCTTACCTATTCGAAATTCCATGATTGCCATGCAAATGTCACTTGAAGTTGTTTATTAAAATCATTTGAATTTGATTGCAAAATGTAATAGACCGTCCATTCAGTAGTTTGTTGCGGAAGCAGAAGAAAAGTTGCTACCTACAAAATCCAGTAAAGTCTATTACAAGGAGTATGAAAAGTTGTTGGCGCATCTACGAACGAACGTTTTTCCCATGTTAATTGCCTATGTTCGGTTTTAAAATATTCACCCGGTATATTACAAATTGTAAATGTAACTAAAAGAAATAAATAATATAGTAGGTTTTTTTTGTTAATATTTGTAAATTCAAACTGTAGTTAACTTCCTTTAAACATTTCAAACAAGTTTCTACAATTTCTTGCAGGGTACACCGTACAGCCCCGTAAACGATGCTTCATTTAGTGAGAATCGTAAACGATTTACATAAAGCGCATTTCCACTTGCATTCATTTCCCATTTGTAAGATGCAACTTCTGTTAAAATCGTAAAAATTCGGCCACAAATATGAAAGATAGCGTTGCACATGGGCAATCCATTTTTGACGTGCTACTTCAATTTCAGTTTATGAGAAGAATTTCATTTCAATGTTTTTCTAAATAAGAAAGTTGGAACTGCGCATGCGCAAACCTAAATTTTGAAACTAATGTTAGATTTTCCTTTGTTCCAAGCGCCAAAGTATCAAATTTCACTTAAATGCCTTCCATAGATAAAAAAAAGTTGGCACTGCGCATGGGCAAAATAAAATTTTTAAACTGGCGCTAGATTTTCCTTTATTCCAAGCACCTATGTATCAAATTTCATTTAAATGCTTCCATAAATAAAAAAATTGACACTGCGCATGCGGGAAACCAAATTTTGAAACTGGCGTTAGATTTTCCTTTNGGTAATTGAATAAAAACACTTAACCTAAGTCGGTATAATTATATGTGGACTGTAATAACTTCAAAATAATAATGTTAAAATTCTCACTCACTATCAACTAAACACACTCACAACGAAAAAGAGGGGATTTCAAGCGCCAAACAAAATAATTTAAAATATTCTTGGCAATCAAGCTCTTAAGTAAAGAACTTAGTAGCCGTCGCACAACGAGGGACGGACGACAGCCGGACGGAGCGGACGGACAAAGTGGCCACAATAGCGCATTTTTTTTTATTTTGTGAAAAATGCGCTAAAAAGCATTATGAGGGCCCAGAACAAGAGAGGAAATAATAAATAAATAAATAAATATCATTGAAGAGAAAAATAATAGGGCGCTAGCACATTGACAGACGTTTTTCGTTGTCGATTCGCTTGGTAGCCTATAAAGGGTGCCCATTATGTATGGAATATAGTATGTATCTCGGTAAATATCAACTATGTACATAATTTTTCTATGTGAAAGTTGTTTAAAATTTTATTCACCATAATAAGGCAGCTTTCCATTGTTTTTATTTCAGAAAACAAATGCATAACGAGAAATAATTGAATTTGTACACTTTCATGGGCTCTTTTTAATGACGTAACACGTTAGCACCAGTGTAGAAGAAATTAATTTTTATTTAAAGCTTTTGTGATAGGTTCTGCCACTGCCTTGCAATTAATGGTGACCATTCCAAACATTCATTGAGATGAAAACGATTTTACTGCTAATTTCGTTTTTTTTCAAGATTTAATAAGAAACGTACACGTTCAGTTGTTTTATTTTGATGTAGGATATCTGGATTAATGTTATTGATCTAATTATAGTAAATTGTTTTGAAAATTTTTTTTTAAAATAAGGGTACTAACATGCTATATCATCGAAAAGAGAAAAAAATCTCTAGCAATGAGCCTAATGAAAAAGTGCATTGCCATTTAAAAAAATTCAATTGTTTTTCGTTACTCATTTGTCTTCTTAAATAAAAACAACTAAATGCTGCCTTATTAAAGGAAATAAAATGTTAAACAACTTTCATATAGAAAAATTTTGTATACATTCGATACTTCTCGAGATATATGAAATTAAAAAACGCAGAAAAGACGAGGTTTCATTTAATTAATAATCTTATTGGAAATCTTGCCCTTTTTAACTTTTCAAGCGAATTTTTGGAAGAAATTTAAATGATATTACATTTATTTTAATTATCGCAAATGGTCCTAAATTTAAACTAACGAACCACTCAAATATGGTAATTCTTGGACACGGTCATTCGATCTCTAACGTGAAATAACAGAGACTATCTTGTTTACTTACTTTGGTCCGATGTTAGTAGTATCAAATATGAAATATTACCGGTTCGAAAAGAGCCATAGATAATCGTAAAGTTAATTCCATCCCCCAGGATAGACAAATATTGCCTGGGTAAAGCGGAAACCAGGTTTTTTTCTGACTAATGTTGGGTATAAGTATTGTTTTCAAATAAATTGGTCGGTGCAGTTAATAAACTTTTAGTACACTTTGTTATTTTGCAAGTCGGCTAGCCATTGTTGTGGATGGGGTAACTACTTATTAGGAAAATTGGAAAACATTTGCCGATAAAACGACTTTGTCTACACAATTATTATGCTGTTATCATATTGTGATGTAAACTTTATTTAGGGGTAAGGTTATTCCTAATTCGCCATTTTATGAGGGTCTTTGGAGCCGTCTGTATGGATGAAAATAGCATTTCTTTGTTCTCCAAGTTCACCCCCATCATCGATGAAAGTTTATACCCGGTATAATACATTTATTTTTTCTTTCAAATTTTAACAGATGTCCCGAGTTAACTACCCCTCTTGGATAGGCAGACAAGCAAGAAACGTTCAAATTTATCTTACATTTTTATTTTAAAGGGCACCAACTTTGGTATAATTGTATAATATACCTGTGAAAATAAAAAATAATCCTGTGTCCAGTACAATTTTTTACATGAGCGAGTTTTCATTACGCATTACTGAGCTCTTCGTCTTTCCCCTTATTTTTCGCGTATAACATCCGAATTTTTTACCCAATAATTCTCCGGAGCTTTTATTCATAAATTGAATTTTCATCGTATAGAATTCGCATTTTAAACTTTCTGCGTTACTAGGTCAACATCTCCGTATTCGAGTTGGGGTACATTCTGGGGCAGTAGTCGCCGGAATCGTCGGATTAAAAATGCCTCGATATTGTTTATTTGGAGATACGGTCAACACGGCGAATCGTATGGAATCTACAGGCGAACCGATGAGAGTGCAAATTTCTCATACCACCAAGGAGCTTTTGCCGATTGAGTACAAAGTTGAAGAGAGAGGCGAAATTGAGATTAAAGGAAAAGGTAATAGATTGAGCTTTCCACTCGCCCTTTTCTGTTAGTATTAGTGATAAATGAGGAAAATTGTTTGTTGGCGGTCACGTAAACTTTCAGTGACGCCTGTCAAACTTTTTCCGAAACGTAATAAGGGTAATACCTACTTTACTAATTTGCGGATTGGACATTGGATTATTTATTAGCGTATTTTGATCGTAACGCAATTAAGACAAATGTATGGTCTTGCATTGGAAGTTTAAAACTAAATGCAAAAGAACGAAAAATATTACACTTTAATATTGAATATATTAGAGAACAACTTGTGGTAAAATTTAATGAACAAATAATACACGACTAATGAAAATTTCTACATATCTTTTTGAGTTCTTCGTCACCCCATAGCAGAGAAGATTCATCACCGTACTTTAATTGATTAGCAAAAATGAATTGGTAATTTTGGAATTCAAAAATTCGGTTTATGAAATTTGTATTGAAACCTAAAATGGTAATCGAAATTTGAGCAGCGTTATGAGTATGTATGCTCATTGCATTTTTTTAGTTTTCTGCTAGGTATGTGCAGGTTATATTTTTCCGTCTCTACTCTTCGCTATCCATTGCCTTTCTTTCCATATCCAATCCACATATCCTCTTCACTCGTCTTCTTCCTTTTTTCCTTTTCAAAATTTTGTTATACAAAGATCTTCCTTTTCCTATTCTTTCTAGTACCTGATGTTCGTTCCTAATTCTGTCAGACCACTTTATTCCAAGCATTCTTATCCACAGTTCCATAGCATCTGTTTTTTTAAATTGTCCACATTTCACATCCGTACAGGGTAACACTCCACGTCACATGAGTCCTTTGGGCCGGTTGTTTTCAGGACTAATGTGGGGGGGGGGGGTATGGGTCCCTGTAGCACACGAAAATCTTCGGATGATTGTAGGAACAAAATGTCGTTTTGAAACTGAAAAAATTCCGACTACTTTCGGAGATATCCTGAAAAAAACCGTTTTTATTTTTTACCGAAGTTATAAAAAAAAGGCATTTCAAAATAAATGCCACATTATTATGATCACTTTTTTCCCTCTACAAGATACTAGGTTTAAATTCTAAGTCTGACGTTTCGTCTCCGGTTAACAATCATCAATTTTGTTTTTTCGTATGAAGGTTTTTTTTTTACTTTTTGTGTTGTTTGATTTTCTGATTTCAAAAATGTAAATATCACTATCTTTAATAAGAAAAGGCGCTATTAATTCGTAAAAACGTGGGAAACTACTAACATATACAGTACCCAAGACAAAGTGTGCCAGGCGCAAAAGAAGATATTTTAGCAATAGCAATATTTAAAAAATAGTGATGTTATCATGTTCAAAATCAGAAAAAAATGCTCTTATCAAATGACACAAAAAGTAAAAATGACTTCCGCAATAAAAAGCAAAGTTGATGCTGGTTAACCGGAGACGAAACGTCAGATATAAAATTTAAAACTAGCATCTAAGAGTAGAGGAAAAAAAGCCGCCACAATAGTCAGTCATTTATTTTGAAATATTTTTTTAGATGACTAAAATTTCGTTTTTTCAGGATCTCCGAAATGGCATTTTGTTAAGCATCAAAATACGCAACTCGCCAAATTTAAATTACCTACCTCTTCTTTCCCTTACTCCAATCATTTTAATCATTTCGCACCGTAGATTTTCAAATTTTTCCTAGAGACTTCCCTAGACTGCTGACATTCTAAGTTCCTATCCTCAATTTTCTCCTTCTGCTCATTGTTTTTCTTGAATTTACTCTTCGGATGCTGTCCACCCCGGACATCCAAGTTGGGGACTATTTTTTTAACTCCAGAAAATTTAATATTCGAAGAATCCATATTTCATTTCATCTTTCTCTGACACTTTTCAAGGGGCATCGCGAGGTCCGTAACGGAGTGGTTTTCCCGGGTCTTCTCCATCTTGACGCCGTTGAAAAATTTGGAGTGATTTCTCAGAGTGCCCCGAACCTGTACCCGCTCATTCGCCCTCCTAGAAGCCGTTGACACTTGGTACAGGGTTGACTTCGCTGTCCCTAAGTCGTCATCAGGCAGTGCAGACAGGCTATACCACGTGAAAGTATAAGGTTGACATTGACGGTTAACCTGGCATATATTGTTATATTATATTGTAGTAGGGGAGATTAAAGTAAGGTGGGTTGACTACGTGTTGAAAAATGTGCATTTATGATCTGTATTTGAGCGTGGCGTGAGGGAGTGGGAAGGTCACAAACCCGCAAGAAAATTTATATTATAAACAAATCGTTAATAAAGTTAAGTAACTTCAGCAGTTGCAGCAAGTCAGTTGATTGGGATCATAGGCGGTCGTGTCATACCAATATTTAAATATCTCGAATAAATCCCGTTTTCTACCCTTCCATGCAGCCTCCCCCATCATGCAAACCGGTAGATTAACATACCTCCAATATCAGAAACACGTGAGACATATACACTATTAATATCTGACACGTCGAGTATTTTCATGTGACTATTTTGTAAAAAAGTGTAGACGCGCCCCCCACCGGTGGAGGGATGTACATCATATAACTTGCATTGCCCCATTTAGCATCGTGGGCTCCCGTACTATAAGTAAATGAACATCTTTTGGACCATCGGGTAGTAAGGGAAACGAAATAATTGCCAATATGTAGGCTTGACAAAATCTAACCCTGTTCCTCTTAGGGAGCATGAAGACATATTGGTTACAAAACCGTGAAAATCGTACACCATTGCCTCGATCTCTCGAACCACCAATGCCTGAGTCGGATAGTCAAACCACGGCAAACGTAGAAGATAATCGGCGGACCGGTGTATACTCTCCGGTAACATTCCAGGCTGTCGCTCGGAGAAGCATTGCAAATTCGCCGACGAAAGGTATGTACCAGCTATGGAGGCCTACTCTGTACGAATTATTTTCATTTTAAAGGTGGTGTTAACAATTAACAGCTGGTCTGTTAATTTTTAACATGAGTGGTTAAAAAAGTATAGAGAGTGTTTCCATTTGTTTTATAACAAACCTGCTAAATTTTAACTGTTACAGAATGTCTTGCATGTGGCCCCCTGTGTTTTGTACGTCAAGTTCCTTTAAAACGAGCTCGAACCAATCCACAAATTGTAATACGTTCGACTACTCCTCCACTAAATCGTTGGTACCCAACTTGCTTTTTCTAGAGTATCCTCATACTCACTTATCTCAAACGAACATTAACTTAATTTGAGGTGACATGTTCCAATTGGCCACATTTGAAACGGAACGCTCTTTTGAGGCGCACTTTATGTTCTCTGTTGTTGCCCTTTTTTCAAATTTCGTAGTTTAGTTGTTTCAAAATTTGTTATTGTTTTCGCTCCTGTTTTGATGACTACTTTGTTGTTTCTGTACAGGTTTTTCACTGCCTCTATCAGTTTGACTGAAACTTTTTGTTCTTTTCTTTTCCTTCAGTTGGTGTAGTGTGTACAGGCTGATTCAAATTTCGAGAGCCACCATGGGGATCTCGGGAACTGTAAGAGATAGGGAGGTAGTTGAAATTGGCAAAGTTGGGTATTTTGATGCTAAACAAAATGCAGTTTTGGAACTATTTTCGGAGATATCCGAAAAAAACCGAAATTTTGCAAATTTTTTACTGAAGTTATTTAAAAAGATATTTCGAAATAAGTAGGTAACGCATTATCGTGGCCACTTTTTTCCCTCTACAGGGTGCTACTTTTAAATTTTAAATCCGACGTTTCGTCTCCGGTTGACCATCATCAACTTTGTTTTTTTATGGTAGTAATTTTTACTTTTTGTGTCATTTGATAAGAGGGAAGTTTAAAAATGTAAGCATCACAATTTTTTTTAATGTTGTTAATATAACGTCTCTTTTGCCTAGAAAACTTTGTCTTGGATAGTGTACGTACGTAGTTTCTTGCGTTTTTACGAATTAATAGCGCTAGTTCGCATTAAAAGATAGTGATGTTCTGATTTTTGAAATCAGAAAAAATTCTCTATCAAATGACGCAAAAAGTAAAAATTACTTACAAAAGAAAAAACAAAGTTGATGATGGTTGATCGGAGACGAAACGTCAAACTTAAAATTTAAAAGTAGCATCTTGTAGAGGGACAAAAGTGGCCATAATAATGTACCATTTATTTCGAAATACCTTTTTAAACAACTTCAATAAAAATTAATACCGATTTTGTAAAATTTCGGTTTTTTTCGGAGATCTCCGAAAGTAGTCGGAATTTTTGCATTTTGTTAAGTATCAAAATGTTTATTTATTTATTTTCCATTTTGATTACAGCGTAGGTAATATTGGAAACGTCAGTTTAAAAATACCCAACTTTGCCCAATTTAAACTACCTACCTATCTCTTACAGTTCCCGAGATCTCCATGGTGTCCCTCGAATTTGAATTAGCCTGTATATAGTCCATTATCGATCTTCCCACTGTGAAACCCGCTTGTTTCTCTCCCATTTCCCCTTCTATGTTTTCCTCTATTTTGTTTCTTATTGGCTTTCCGTAAACTCTCCCCATCGTTGCTATTACGCTTATTACTCTGTAGTTTTCACATGTTTTTCGGTTGCCTTTCTTGAATATTGAAGTTATATGAGCTTGTTTCCACTCGTCGGGCATTTGTTCACCGTTTACTATTTGCTGGAACATGCTTCTGATCATGCGGAGTACTTTTTCTGATCCGTACTTAATCAATACCTCCAGGTCCTGGTGATTGATTGTTTTTAATTGATTTTATTACCCTAGTAATGACTGATTTTCCGCTATTTTCTTCTCCTTGTTCCATACTTTCGTTCCGTTAGTAGATCCTTGTAATATCTTTCCCATTCTTCTTCCTTGATTTATGTGCTTTCTCTTTGTTGTTTGTTCTTAGCGCTTTTATGTCGTTTTTTGCTTTAACCACTACCATTTTTACCTCCCTTTCTTCTCTCTATGCTTTTGGTAATCTTCATTCTTTTATGTACATAACCATTTTCCGTGTAGTTGTTTTTTCAGGCTTATTGCATTTTGTTTCTAAATGCGATTCTTTCCTTGATTCCTCTATTTTTCCTATGATTCAAGTGCCACCTCTTTAATACTCCTTCCTCAATTGTATCGTATAAAAACCGTTTAACTTTTCTTCCAATCTTCTTTGTTATAATTCCCTTACTGTTTCATCTTGCAGCAGATAAAGTTTTAGCTTTGCTTTTCCTCCCTTTGTCGCTGTATCATCTTTGCCTTTTATTCATAACATGCCATTATTGGCTCCCCAAATTATTTTAGAGCAAAAATGTATTAAGGTTTTTTGAATAAAAAAATTTTTTACGTCATTCAACCGTATTAGTTTTCAATTTTTTGCATAATAAAGACGGAAAATTGGAAAAATAAAACCCGCATCTTTTTCAATAATCTGTGATGCCATGGAATTTATAATACAAAAAACTACGCCAATATCCGACATGCCATGGAATGTCTGCTATAAAACAAATGAAATTCTATCAAAAAGTATTATATTTAGAACAGCGAATTCATCATAAAGAAAGACCAAATTACTAAAAACGGTTTCCTAATATAACAATTTACAATAAATGTTCGAATAAGTCACCATTAACTGCAAGACAGTAACCAAGTCGATCATAAAATCCATTTCGAACTGCTGCTAATTGATAACTGGATAACTTTTTGTGTTAGAAAATTCCATGGCATCGCAGATTATTGAAAAAGATGCGGGTTTTATTTTTCCAATTTTCCCTCTTTATATGAAAAAAATTGATTGGCGTAAAAAAAATTTTTCTACAAAAAACTTTAATACATTTTTGCTCTAAAATAATTTGGGGAGCCAATAATCGCATGTTATGAATGTTACATTGAAATCCCTACGATGCGTTACGCAAGTCACCACCCTGTATAGTCGATGATTGATTTCAGTTTTCTAGTTTCTTGCGTCCAAGTATATTTTTGAATGTCCTTGTGTTTGAAGAATCCGTTTGTTATTTTGAGGTTATATAATTCACACAATTTTATTATTCGCTCGCCGTTGGCATTTAGGGTCTCTTCCCCAAACTGCCCTACTGTTTCATACTTAATTTTTCTTCTTGTTTTTCCATTTAGATCGTCGACAATGATTATTTCTTCTGTTGCCTTAATTTTTCCTATTTCTTTCGTTGGTTAGAGTGTCCATAAATTCGTGTTTGTCTGTATCCGGGGCTTGATCTGGGCTATCCTCTGCGGATCCATATACCCCTAGTATGGTCTTCCATGTATACCTAAATTAAGTTTCATTATTCTTTTGGTTGCCACGTTTTTACCCTGTTCTTGTATTTGCTTTGAATGAGGATTCATATTCCTGCTTTCGCCCTTTGCTCTTTGTTTACTCCGCTTCAACAATATAGTGGAACGGAAATTCTAAGTTTTGCTTTCTTTTTGTCTCACTGATTATTAGTATTTCTACGTTCATTTTATTACTTAGTTCTCCATCCTTGAATGTTTCAGGTTCCAATGGTGATTTTTCGTCTTTCCTTTCGCTTTCCGGTTCAATGTTGAAACTGGGGCCCAGAGCACTCCTCGTGGATTATTTTTATTTTTCCATTCTATCATCCTCCTTTCCCTTAATTTTTTCTTTGTGACGCCGCAACTCCCTTCCGGAGAGCGTATGCTCTATTGCTCTCGAGCATTTCTACCGCATCCACTGAGTACCTAAATGTTTGGTTTCGGATCTATCGTAGCTGTTGACGTGTAGCAAGGCACTATTTCGGCTTCTTTGTTATTTCTTTACGAGCTCGCACCGTTTTCTGTACTGCTGTCAACATCTTCCTCGCGCATATGGTAACTGAATAACCCACTAATCAGTCCATGATGATCGCGGATCCCATATCATCACATCATCCCACTCCTGATGTAAGAAATACTAACATTGTTGTTTACTTTACACATGTAAGTTTACAAGGCAAACTTTCAGCATAACCGTATATGTCAGTCACAAAAGCCACCCTATCCTTTGTTATATCTTACAGGTAAGTATTTACCTGGCTAATACGCTTTACTAAAACGTAGTCTCTTTAGATTCCCGCTCAAATTCCGTAGGGACACACAAGGAAGCCTCAACCCCATCGCGTGTATTCGGCGATTCCGTAAACGATCACGGAGAGCTGTTGATGCAACTTTGCCCATTGCCCAGCGAAGGAATACTTCAAATCAAGAAAAATCGCTACTACAAAACCGCACGAAGTAAATCGCACTTTCACTTTCAAGATCATCTACCCAAACACTTAACGGTAAAAAACACATACAGCGAAGAGCATTTCAAAGCAATCCAAAACGTCGCCAACGAAGCAAATGCCAAAACATGCACCGATCACAACGAACCAGTAAAAAATAGTATTCACCGTACCGCTTCCGAAGAATGCGGATTTGAGACTGGAACTTCTAAACTTCATTCTTACGCTTGTGTGATTTTTTAACGGTAAACGAAACGTCAACGCTACTGCACTGCTCATCAATATTTTTATGAAAAAGTATATTTTTATACCATACGATATGGAAAATCCACTACGGAGCAGAGAACGAATGAATCTATTTTCTTTAAGATGAAACGATCGTGCAGATATTTTAATCTCACTTATTTTCATTTTCCACAAGTGCTTACCTTATTTAAATTTAAAAAAATCGAGTTTATTATAAAAGTTGATTGAAATAAAAATTATTTATTTTGAATTTGATTCGCTGTGAGTCAACATTACAAAACTGGGAGATCGTGATTTTGGCAGGTAAGTCGCTCTTGTTTGACTGAGTATATATAGTGTGACTTATTTTGCAGGAGTTTTCCATGAGCAGGTAAAAGTCTCGCCAGGAAAGAATGCCGGTCACAGCACGCCTGATGCTGGTCTACAATCGTATGGTTTACCATGAAAAACATACGACTGTAGACTGGTATCAACTGTTCTGTGACCAGCATTCTTTCCTGGCGAGACTAATACCGTTGAAATCCATTTTGGCATTTATGTTTCATACACGGAAGGATATCACTTAAGAGTTTACCTATGTAAAGCGATCCCGGTCCTGTAATAGCAAATACAATCCCACATTCTAAAAATTAATAAATATGTTCCGGAATTAAACTAATGCGTCCCGGGGATTGTGAAAGTATTTTATTTGTGTTGAATGTAGTTCTGCTATGTCCATTAAACCTGTTCCTCCTCCTCGTCTGTAGTATTTATTGATATAATTTTACATTTTCATGTATTGCGTTTCTAGTCAGAAGTTAATTTAAAGGGCCTGCTAGTTTATAGTGCGAGGGTTATAGGTTTCAACCTTGCATTTTGTGATAACTTTATGAAACTTTCAGAGTATGTTCTAGACACCCTAAGGTTCAATTTCAGCTATGCCGCCACCCCCGCAAACCCGGTCGGCACTTGCTATAGCGGTAGCATTTCAATACCCGCCCATAAAATGGGTCAAAAATGTATATCCCGGGTTTGTTTTGTACTTTCTTACATCTAGGAAAGTTGAAGGGAATTGTCAAATACCCAGGGAGAATTTATGTAGGGTATTTTACGTGCTTTACCTATTTTTAAGGCGCTTTTAACAGTGCGGGCAGTAAAATCGTGACGGAGACCTCTTTTGGCTGCTCTATTGAATAGGTATTATATAGTTAACTATGCTCTAATAGTATATTATATACCGCGGGACTGAAGTAGTATGTATGGAGTTAGAGAACGCGTTCTTTCAAAAAATCGCTGCTTAACAAGTTACCATAGGAACGTTGCGTCAATACACCAAACCCTATGCTATGGTAACAAAAATAATTTGGAAACTGTCATCGCTAGTGTCATAATTTTGGTGGTGGGTGACAAAGGTGTATTTGATATTGATCAAAAGCAGCCAAAGTAGGTAAAGAATTGATGCCACTGAAATCCAAAAAACTATATGAGCAACAGTACGATGCGTTTAAGAAGTAGTGCCGCATATAAAATGTGGAACAACCTACTGAAATAGCCTTGTTAGTAATTTCATCCTTCCGGGATTTTCGTCCAAATTTAATCCCGGCGGGACAAAAAGTGACACTTCAGCACTTGTCATAATAATAATAATAATAATAATATCCGTTTATTGAAAAAAACATAATGGACTGAAGTTGTCACTTTAGTCTCGGAAGTACGAAAAGTATTTATTGAGACTTTACAATGCTGATAGGAAAGTTAACGATAACTACGGCACTAAAATTATTGAATCCTATCTTGAGAACACTCGCCTCCGCAGTCGCACAATTCGGTGCAGGGCATGTCGGACTTGGCACAGCTGCATCTTTGTGTGCAACCTTTCTTAAGAGAGGCGGTAAGTAGGCGAATAGATGAATTTACAATTGCATCCATATTCAACAAACAAACTTAATCTACACACATTCGCAGGACATGTATGGGGACATTGCCTCCTGGCGCAACAGCAACTTCCGGATCCATGTGATTGGGGTTGGAGAAACTCGAGTGAAGATCAAGAATGGGAGCCTGTCTGGACTTTAAAACCCCCAGTTCCAGAAGCTTTTGTAATCTTAGTAAAATGTGGATGTAAGAAAGGTTGCACACAAAGATGCAGCTTTCTCAAGTCCGATGTGACCTGCACCGAATTGTGCGACTGCGGAGGCGAGTGTTCTTAAGATAGGGCTCAATAATTTTAGTGCCGTAGATATTGTTAACTTTCCTTTCAGCATTGTAATGTCTCAATAAATACTTTAGAGCATAGTATAATATTCAATAGAGCAGCCAAAAGAGGTCTCCGTCACGGTTTTACTGTCCGCACTAGAGAATGCAATACCGGGATTGCGGGATCCCGAAATACAGGGATCCCGCAGCATTTTTGCGAGATTCATCCCGCACATAAATGGAGCGGGATCCCGCGGGATTTGCGGGACTGAGGAATTTGTCGACCAAGGGGACAACTCTGTTTACTTTGTTAATGAAACTGATAACGGCGAATTATTTGTTAAATAATTGTTAAACTTTTTTCGTTAAAAATGTACTATGATTTTTGAGGCACTTTAGAAGACTTTTTGTGCTTTACAGGTAAAGTTTTTTTGAGTTCTAAGTTAGGCCGAAGGTACATTTTTGTTAAATATTGTGATAATTAGCGATTTATTTTAATACAGAAGTTAACCGCACAGAATGCTTATTTGCCAATTTATTTAAAGTTTTGCGAGATCCCGCAAATTCCGGGATCCCGCGGGATTAAAATCTAACAATCCCGCAAATACAGGGATTGAGATTTTGCTGCGGAATTGCATTCCCTACTAGAAACCAATTTCGAAAGAAAATTCAAAGGGCTGTAACTATTGAACTAGTAGCCCAATCTAGGAACTGTTTGAAATTATGGATTCTACAGGTCACATTCTATAAGAAAATTTTTTTTCGGGACGATCTGAGAAAATTTTTTTTGAGGGCATCAAAAAAAGGCAGTGTATAACCTTCCTTTTTTACCAAAAATCGACTGCACTAAAATTTCTCGGGAAAACACTTTTTCTTATTAATTTTGGTGCGTAGAATCCAAAACAATTCGTACTTTTTCGATCAGACTTCTCAATCAAAAGTTATAGACTAGAAACCAATTTCGAAAGAAAATTCAAAGGGCTGTAACTTTTGAACTAGTAGCCCAATCTTGGAACTGTTTGAAATTATGGATTTTACAGGCCACATTCTATAAGAAAAATTTTTTTCCGGGTCGATCTGAGACAATTTTTTTTGAGGGCCTCAAAAAAAGGCAGTGTACAACCTTCCTTTTTTACCAAAAATCGACTGCACCAAAATTTCTCGGGAAAACACTTTTTCTTATTAATTTTTGTGCGTAGAATCCAAAACAATTCGTACTTTTTCGATCAGACTTCTTAATCAAAAGTTATAGACTAGAAACCAATTTCGAAAAAAATTCAAAGGGCTGTAACTTTTGAACTAGTAGCCCAATCTTGGAACTGTTTAAAATTATGGATTCTACAGGCCACATTCTATAAGAAAATTTTTTTCCGGGTCGATCTGAGACAATTTTTTTTTCGGGGCTCAAAAAAAGGCAGTGTATAACCTTCCTTTTTACCAAAAATTGACTACACCAAAATTTCTCGGGAAAACACTTTTTCTTATTAATTTGGGTGCGTAGAATCCAAATCAATTCGTACTTTTTCGATCATACTTCTCAATCAAAAGTTATAGACTAGAAACCAATTTCGAAAAAAAATTCAAAGGGCTGTAACTTTTGAACTAGTAGCCCAATCTAGGAACTGTTTGAAATTATGGATTCTACAGGCCACATTCTATAAGAAAATTTTTTTCCGGGTCGATCTGAGACAATTTTTTTTTCGGGGCTCAAAAAAGGGCAGTGTATAACCTTCCTTTTTTACCAAAAATCGACTGCACCAAAATTTCTCGGGAAAACACTTTTTCTTATTAATTTTGGTGCGTAGAATCCAAAACAATTCGTTCTTTTTCGATCGGACTTCTCAATCAAAAGTAATGGACTAGAAACCAATTTCGAAAGAAAATTCAAAGGGCTGTAACTTTTTTCCACACATTTGCGCCTTTCGAGCGTTGTAAGGAAGCATTTATAGCAAATTTTTACAATAAAAATCAAGAAGTTAAAATTAGAGTTGGAAAGCGGAAAGTATGCCCATAATTCTGGTACTTACACAGAGTATTTTTTGGAACAATTATCTCAGGGTGGATATTTACAGGGAAAATTCTCAGAAAAAGACTTAATTAAGAAAATTGGGAAACATTTCTCACCTGAAATCCGTTATTCTTTATGAGATTGTCACAATTCGTCCAATTTTTACGACAAGTCGATTATTTTCGAGGTTTAAATTCAAATGTTAACAAAACGCGGCACTTTTTCTTAATTCTAATAGGGGTCTTGTAAATAAATCATTTTATAACGGGATAACCCTCATCGAGCTAACCATAACCAGGACAACTCGGGTGAAAAAAATGATAATTTGCACAATAGGAACGCAAAAAGAAATCCTAATTTTAATAGAAATTTTCCTCCTTTGAACTTCAAGCCGAGGATTTATCCATTATTCGTCTTGCGCGCCTTTTACTGAATCTGAGGGGCAAATCGTTCCGGAAAACGAAAGCAATGCTTCCCAGTAGGCCCAAGGGGCGGCTTTTCTTCTTTGCGCAGTGGACCAGCTGACGAATTAATACAATGCGAGGCTGATCATCCAGTTTCTTCAACTAGATACCCCGTAGGTACTTGAAAGGTAGGGTAAATTTGAAAACAGAAATTTTATTATTGGGACCCGAGTTAATCAGGGGCGATCTGCATGGATTTCATTGGATGACCTCAGCCCGTCAGGTGGGAAATTGTGGTCTAAAAATTATTAAATTCGTTAGCTGTAAAGAGACCATTGATTTCGAATAATTTGTGTGCTATCACACACAGAGAAAATCATAGAGTGTTAAATTGTCTTTTACATTTTAATTATTTATAATGAGTCATAAACCTAATTAGTAAATATATTAAGGTACCTATGAAGTAATAAGTCTAAAATGCATTATTGCACAACATAAAATTAAAGGTATCACACGTGGAAGAGTCAATTTAGGATTGGAGAGTCCGTTTGCCATCCAATCGCATTAGGACCAAACTTATACACAAGTCTTTGCCCTTGGACTGGAAGTAGTACTTTATTTCCGTAGTGGTATCTAAAAATATTACATGCTTAAATGAACTAATGACAAAGTGTTCACCTCATAGCACGAGATAATTTATCGTAGCTCATATTTTTGTTATTATTGCGAGAGCCCCACAGTTTCGCCACTTTGGCGCCTTGTACAAACTTAAAAGTTCCTTCGCCATAATTGTGCCACTTGATCAAACTTGGACAAGTGCTTCTGTCATGGAGTAAGTCTCTGAGGAACTCCCACAGTTTACCAAAACCTGGAAACGTATTGCTACGTGAAATTTGAACAAAACAAAATAAGCTTTACTGTAAGGCCGTCTTCGATTTACGTCCGTTCCCGGATTCCTGTCGCGTTTCCTTTTCTGTTGATTCCTTTCTAAGGCTAGCCCTGCAATATTAACGTCATACAGAAACATTTCATTTACTCGTATAGTCGTATCTACCTAACTGACTTCTGGAAGAAATGCTTGAGCTTTCTGTGGTCCTTGAGGTGGTGATATTTACATACACGGGACTGTCTTCTTTTAACCACTGACGAATTTGATCGATTGTCCAGGAGGAGTTTACGCCATTCATACCTGCAAATAAAGAATGCGATTCAGATTCAGTTTGAAATTATTATCCCACTTAGTAAATCTCCCCTCAGATTGTTTTAATGAAGAAATCTGAAAGCTGTAAAAATCTGAAATGAGGAAAATCGAACGAATTGATTTAGTTTCTCAGTTAATAAAGTTAATCACACAAAAGAAGGTAATCTCGAGGGTAATCGGGCGAGTCTTTTTTTACGTAATTTTAGTATCAGCAAAATGCCCTTATAAGCACGGGCAAACTGGTCAGTTTGGCACCGGCATAATAAATGAACTTCAACTGAAATTATTATTATTGTTTATACAGGATGCATAAGTATAGAGTTGTCCGAGACTATAGTAAAAATAGCACCTTATACCGAAACTAAGCTCACCCCTGTAACTTGGGGGGGGGGGCGGGGGAATTGGCGGTTTGATTTGTAAATCAGCTACACATGAACTATCATAAAAACAAAAATATTTCATATATCACAAAACTAACAACCCCTGCTACACATTGATTATTTCAACGCTACAAAAATTGTTCTAGTTGAGTATTGATGATCGGAATGTTTGGTTCTACAGGGTGAGTCTTTTAAAGTGATACAAAGATATCTCTCGAATACCATGTTTAATATTTTTATGACATTTTGGACAAATTATTTATTTCTTGTGTTGTTCTTAATATGTTCAAAATGTATTCCAGTAAGCAGATCCTATTCGGTGTTTCATGTGATGTAAAGTTGTATGGACATTACTTTATCTTTTATAAAGCCCCACGAAAATAAATTCGGAGTCCGAGCTTGAACGAAGAGAAGTGAAACACGCAAGTTACGCCAATGGAATTGTTCACCGCGCGTTTTTAACAATTCAAATTGCACAAGGACATCGTAAGTGATTGTGCGTCATGCTTTTGAAGCTGGCGATGTATTAGTCGACGCAGTATAATTATTATGCAGGTAGCTGTCAGTGCGTGCGTTTATACAAGACATTTAGGTAAAGTTTACTTTTACTTTTCTTTGTAAATTTATAATGAAATAAGTAGGTTGTAGGGCATTTGTTTTATATTAGTTACTGTCGATTTAGTAAGTACCTACTTGATCTGATAAATTTGAGTTGCCAAGGCCTGATATAACATCGCGCAACCGTGGGTTAACAATTAACAAAAAGCCTTTGTTAGGGATGGCTTGATTTAACTTGCTGTAAATGACCCATACAAATTTGAGATTTTCCCTTTAGTTACGCTTATTTTAGGGCATTTCTTAGATTTCCATGAGTAGATAGAGTGGAACTTTCCCACAAGCGTAGGTTGCATTTCTTTGAAGATCGTACAGGGTGTTGATATAATTTGGAGTATTTTGTAGATGTAGAGTCCGATTGCGTCTTTGGTTTGTTGCGGTGAATCGGAGTTTTCAGTTTGTTGTATGTGGGGGGTGTAAAATATTTATTGAATTGGTTTTTGTATTGTCATAATCTATTATTAACTAGCAATTGATACTTTTTGTTGAAAATAGCATGGTACTGTAATTGGCCCGGAGGTCAAGTAAGATTGAATGTTATATATTGTCCACTCCTTTGCCCCTCTTTTATGCTCGAGTACTAATTATGCTAATATGTTCTTATCATGTTACCCTCCTTTGAAGTACACATGGTGTTTTTTGGGAGCTCTCTATTTACACATTTCTGGTAAAGTGAAATAGGTAGGTTTTTGAAAATTTGTACTTAGGAGTTACTCTGAAGGCCGAATCGATGCAAAATATTTTCAAAATAGTCGCACTTCCCGAAACACTATGCGATCAAAAATGAGTTGCTGTCGAGTTACCTTTGGAATTTTTGTTTGCATGAGACATCGTACTTAACTTGAACTTCCAAAGGCGACTCGACAGCAACTCATTTTTGATCGCTCGTTATGGTTTTTTGACTTTAAGACAAAAATGGCGGATGCAGACGGGACTTTGATAATTGATTACTTGAAAACGGTTGAAGTTATGGTAACCCATTTTACCAGTGCATAGGGAAAGAATAGGGCTTTCTTTTAGTGTACTTAAAATGAAATGACCATTTTCTTACTATTGCGCTAGATTCGATTTTTCTGAGTTATTCCCATTTCATTGAATGGATACCATTTTTCCGGATTTTCTTTTGAGTAGGCGGCCATGATTTTATGACAATCGAATTTGAAACAAATCAAGGAAAGGATTCTTTAATATCATTGATTCTAATCTAAATAATTAATTAATAAAAAAGACAACACAATGATCAGCTAATTGAAAAACAAAAACTTAATTATTAAAAACCCCTTTCTTCTTCAACACATGCTGAAAATGAGAGCCTTCGTGTTGCAAACACAATTCAATTCTTTTCCTTAAATATTCTCTTGTAGAGTTGGTATTACTTGTGATTCAATGGCTTGTATGTGCATTGCTCTCTGGTTGTGGGAGGCCCCGACATAAACTTTGTCTTTTACATCCCCACAAAAAGAAACCTAAGAGGGAAAAGTCGGGAGAATACACCATAACCTGCACTCAGGGCCGGATCTACATATTTTGCAGCATTTTGCGCATTTTTTATATTTATTATGAGATTTATAAAGTGCTATTGAAACAAGGTATAATATCTGTTGTTTGAATTACAACCAAATAACTGTTTCATTACATCCACAGGAGGTGATCATAGGACTTTTAAGAAGATACGTTATTACGTAAAATTTACAATATGAAATTCAGAAGTGGTTTTCCAAAATAATAAAAGACATCAATTTCAAATAACGTATAGTTCAAGTCTACTCTCCATTTTAAATAATAAAATATAATATACAAACATGTACCTAAATGTAACCACTGAATCGTGTTACACAGAATTCAGAGAATCTAACGGTTACGTAGCGTACTATCATGAAATTGATCAAAATCGCTAGAGGGCACCTTAAATAAGCGTTTTCAACAAAAAATTGCTTTAAATCAATGTTCACATCATTTCATCAAAATGTGATATACACGGTGTCCATTATTCGAATGCCACTACGGGGATCTCGCTTATTTTAAGAGATAGAAACTTGGTTAAGTTAGGGTTTCGTGCTGAATAATAATCTAAAAATAAATTTATAATATCTTCAATAGTTTTGAAAATATGGCAAAAAATCGAAAATTTCTGATTTTCATTTTTAACTTTTTCATGGTAAACTAATTGTACTAGACATTTCTAATTAACACATTATTCAGACACTTTTTAATGGAGATTTCGAATATAGCATCCCGTTTTAATAACTTTCAGGATAACAGAGAAACACGTGGCAACTTTAGTTTTTTTTATGGGCGCCGTTTTGGATTTTGACATTTTGAGATTAGGTCTTTTTTCTCTTTACAACGATATATCACACATGGTGGTTCAGTATCACATTTTTTCTAAAAATACAATTTTCATTTTCTGCGAAGAGTGCTATGCAAAAACAAAATGTTCTTTTGTTGTGAACAAAATGTTGACTTATTTCAAGCAGTGTTATTTACGTTTGTGCTAGTTTTATTGCTAAAATACTATTTATTCTTATGTATTTTGTTCTAATTTGAATTATAATTTTATTGCAAAACGAAGGTTCAATTCTGTTCATATGAAAATCGAATTTTCTCAACACATCTAGTTCCCTGATGCCAACGCTGCAACCGGACATATGCATCAAACTGTCAAACTTTTGTTCACAATAAAACAACGTTTTGTTTTTCCAAAGCACTCTTCCCAAAAAATTAAAAATTGTATCTTTAGCAAAAATGTGGTACTGAAATTAAAAAGGAAAATCAGAAAGTTTCGTTTTTTTGCGATATTTTCAGAACTATTGATGATATTTTAAATTTCTTTCCAGATGGTTATTCAGCAGGGAAATTCGCAACTTTGCCCCCATTTAACCAACTTTCTATCTCTTAAGGTAAACGAGATCCCCATAGTGGCACTCGAAAAATGGACACCGTGTATATTTCATGATTACTTTTAGGTTGGTAAAAGTGTGCGTACCATATCAATTTCAATTTCTCAAGAGTTTATGTTATTTTTCCATGATAGTAATGTAGAATTAATTCTCAAATTTGGTTTTTTGCCGCCCCTAAAAATTTGCCACTATGAGCCCCGGCCCACATGGCCTCATGGTAAATCCATCCCTGACTACACCTGCGCAATGTTTAGGTTAGTAAAACTAGGTGGAAAGCCTAAATTTGGCTATAAGCAGATTTTAGCGCCGTTGTGTTCCTTTTAGTGTTTTTGATAAATGGTTAAGAATCCCAAAAAAGTAACCCCCAAACCACCCCCAAAGGTTTTTACGTTTATTGGAATTTTCTGAAAAACTGTAAATAGATAGGATGTCCTAAATTGAGTAGGATAACATGGCTATCTTTGTTAATTTTATACTTACAGATTCAATTAAATTGGCAAAGTTGTGTAGTTTTTGATACTGATGGATATCCGATATTTTGAAATAAATTATTCGTTTCGTAGATAATTGGAAAAAAAAGTGAAAATCGTCATTTTTAAAAAGTTTAAATATTTTAGCAACAAAGCTATCGAAAAAAGTTTCAAATAAAAGTTGCAAGATTCGATGGGATAAATTCAATGGACGCATCTCGAGATATTGACATCAACTTTCTTATTTTAAAGATTTTTACGCCACTCGATGGAGAAAAAAATTATAAAACCAGTGATACTAAACACTTAGTATTTCATTTGGAAATCAACATTTTTGCCTCGAAGTTTACAATTATTTCTTATGGCAATAATTCCATGGCTGATTATGATCACCATCGACACGGCCATGGAATTATTGCCATTAAGAAATACATTGTAAACTTCGAGGCAAAAATGTTGATTTCCAAATGAAATACTAAGTGTTTAGTATCACTGGTTTTGTAATTTTTTTCTCTGTCGAGTGACATAAGAATCCAATATGGCGCCCATTTAAAATAAGGAAGTTGATGTCTATATCTCAAAAACCGCCATTTTAAAAAAATTTTTCTACGTTCATTGAATTATCACATCCAATCTTGTAACTTTTATTTGAAACTTTTTCGATAGCTCTCTTTGTTACTAAAATATTTGAACTTATTAAAAATGGAGATTTTCACTTTTTTTGAATGATCTCCGAAACGATTTATTGTTTTCAAAATATCGCATCGGACGATCCATTAGCATCAAAATCGAATCTGTAAGTGTAATAATAACAAAGATAGCCATGTTATCCTACTCAATTTAAGACACCCTGTATAGAAGACACGTTTTTTGTAGAGTATAACATTTCCAAACAAACTGTGTACCCATTTGGATTATTGAAAGAAGTTTTAATGTTAATAAAGGCCTTCGAACTTAGGTAACAGTTTTGTATTTTGGTAACTAACGCTAGATTATTTGTCGAAGGTGATTATATAAAATATAGTAAAGAGGTTGTGATAATGATGAGTTTTCCTTATGCAATGACCGGGGTGCGTACGGGTCAGTCAGTCGACTATTAGACGCGGGACAAAGAACTTCGGCAGCGGAAAGTAAACGTGAGAGAGATTTGTTGTATGGCATCAAGTGAGTGGTACATTGGCGACGAGGATACACCATTCTGGTAAAAACGTAAGCAAGAATAATAATATTATACAAATAACACGTCCACAAGTTTCAATAAACAAAAAGGGGGTAAAGAACACGATATGCATGTGAGGGTTACAGGCAGCGAAATGAACGTACATACCTATGTAACTGCATGATAATTAAATCGATGCTGGAAATATAGATTGCTGACAATTGGTAAACCCGAAATAACCGCTGGCTTGGATGGAGAGCATGTAAATGTGTAGTTGGTATTCCAAAAAAAAAAAGAAGTAGATTCTGAAAGTACGCCTTGTTACAGAACGCCAACGCGCACCAAGTGTCCCATATACAAGAACTAGAGAGTTTCGCCTGTGATGGTGATCCACACTCGGTGGGAACAAGGTGGGAAAAATGGAGGAGAGCTTTCGAAATTTACCTGGAAGCAGCTAACATTGAAAATCCCACTAAGAAACGAGCCGCATTTCTTCATACAGGAGGTATGGCGTTACAATTTATTAAAGGTGAATTATTTCAATTTCAATTTATTCAAAACTTTAAACTTTACAGAACAACAGACAAAGCCCAATATAGTTCTGCATACAAACAGAAAAAATAACAATAAGATTCACCTACGCTAACTTACTGAATTATAATATTATGTTGACAATTTCTAAATGTTATTTAAATCTTGTTTAAATTGTGGACACACCAAATAATCTTGGCTCAGGAGATCATTGTATAATCTCATCGCGCCGAAAGTATTAGTTCTGCATATGGGACTTTTTCCTCGAGAACCTTATGAATTTGCACTTTGTCATATTTAAAGACAAATCGTTAATTTTTGTCCAATTTGCTACTGCATTTAAATCTGACTGTAACTGTAGACAGTCACCAACATTAGCAATTTTACGACTGATCTGAACGACTTAACGTCATCTGCGAAAAGCAAGGGAGTACTAGCTACCACAACATCTGGTAAGAACAAGAGAGGACCCAAATTCGACCCTTGAGGTACTCCTGACAAGACCGAAAAAGGAATGGCTTGCACAGACTCCAATTTAATGTGTTATTTACGACTTGAAAGGTAAGACGCCATTAATTGAAGTAAGTCAATTGAGAATCCGAACCTTGCCAATTTAGAAAGAAATATATTAACACTATCAACAAATTCGTAAATATTGTGTCATATTGACCAACGCTTCTGATATGCTTTGATTAAATTCAATTAAGTTTGTTATGGTGGACTTATTTTTTTACAAAAACCCATGTTGTGCACATGAAATGGCCATATATTCTTTTGTACAACATTTTTTTTGCGGGAGTGGAAACCATGGCGATCGGTCGGTAGTTAGAATCTCATTTTTAAAACCCGATTTGTGAATGGGGAAAATTTTTGAAGTTTTCCAAATTTCAGGAAACGTGTTTGTTTTTAGGAACACATTAAACATTAAGTGTAACGAAGAATTCATCCATCAAATAGTCGAACATTTCACTACCATCAGTAGCTATTCAGATTATTCCAAAAAAGACGATGAAATACAAATGGCCAGGAAAGGCGTATATGAAAATAATTGGAATAATTTCAAACTCTTCAACTCTGAGCTAAAAATTACTTCCGGGGGTGATTTTGGCGCCCCATTACGGATTTTTAGTCAGTTATACAAAAGTTGATTTAAAATCTATGGTTTCTAGGAAAATTTCGAAAAACCCTAGGAAAAACCTTTCTAAACAGGTTTCTGGGAAAATTCCTGGATTCCTAAATTTGCAAAAAAGGCGAATAAAATTACTAGAAATTTCCATTTTCCCGCCACAGATGCATCCCCGAGCCCTTCATATGTTAATGCAAAAATTACACTCACGATTTCAAAGAAAACCTAGGAGTAGGGCTGTTCCGGAATCGGAAGGGCCAGGTCCCTAGTCCTCACGCATTTAATAAAAACTTAATTTTTTATTCAATACCTCAGGATAACAGACAAAGTCGCAAATCCTCAACAAATATGAAAGTTACGAAGTTTTTATTGGGGTCAGTAAAAAGCCCCAAGAAAAGACGAAATTGATGGCTCTTCCTGACAAATGATCATGACGGTCTGGGGGTCATCCCCGAAGTATAAATTAATAATAATAATAAATTATTCTATATCTATGAGTGTAAGGTTACAATGACATGGCAAAAAAGAAACAATTACATAATAATATACAAAGAATTGATAGTTCGTGCTAAAGAATGTTCATGAAATCGCAGAAGACTGTAAACGTTTTGGGGGACTGTTTTATGGAAGATATCGAATTCTTTGTATCCAACAAGACAAAAATGTGTGGTAATTTTTGGATTCTACGCACCGTATTTACTATATAATATAATTTCCACGTAATTATGAAAACTTTCACCTTTTCCGTGAAATCCCGTGAACCCTTATATTGAGAAAATGCAAATATTCGAAATTGACAAAAACTTCTTTAATAAATCGGATGCGTAGAATCCAAAAATTAAATAGTCTGCGTGGTGCTTTTATGCCAACATCATCGCAACAAAAAATCCCACAACTTTATTTGTTGAGATATCGATTTTCAGTTTTTTTTCTGTGACATTATGCGGATCGAGTTGGCTAGTATGGTCATGTGTATAATCCACATATTCAATCTTGGGGGGTCAAAAACTTAACCATAGTAACATAATAAGTGCTCCCCCGTAAAGCCAGTAACGTTCTTCTAAATATGTAGTTTGTAAAAATTCTCAGGGGTTCGTCTACCTATTCCTGAAAACAGAATTGGAAAATTCGAAACCGATCGCGAGTTAACATGTACACAGGCGGAGGGACGGGCAGAAAGTCCAAAATTATGAACGAACTGGAATAAACCATCTAATAAAAAAGAATGGTACAAATAATGGTAGCTTCTACCAAAGAGTACACTAAAAAACAATTGTCGAAAGTTACACGAGAAATACTCTTGTAACGAATAAACCAAACGTGCTCCTGGGCCACTGACTCTTTAATCAGTTCTTCCTTTCTGGGTACATGATAACAATTTCGAGTTTTCCAATTCTGTTTTCAGTATTATGTTTATCATTATCCAAGGAAGAACTGATTAAATCTTCCGTGACCTCTAGGAGCTCGTTTGGTATATTTGTTACAGACGCATAGACGGACTGGAGTTCCTGGATCACTGAAAATTTAATCAGTTCTTCCATGATAATACTGAAAACAAAATTGGAAAGTTCGAAACCGTTCGTGAGTTATCATGTATACAGACGGACGGACTGAAAGTCCAAAATCATGAACGAGCTTTGTCGCTCGTTAATAATGTGCATTTTTAATAGGAAACAAGAAACAATATTTTGTTTATAAAATTGTAGTTCAGGTAATCAAAAATTACCTACTCCTTAGTATGATTAATAGCAATATGCAACGGTCCATAAGTCCGGTTGACCCTCAATTGTGTTATCTATTGTAGGTAATATTACAATTTCACGGTTAGTTGTTAGAATGATACGCAAGTGTATGCATCTACAAGTGCCCTCTATTTTCTAGAAAGAGCTTGAGTATAGGTGAGATTTTTAATTAGGCATTCATAAATTAGGTACTAATTAGTTATAACTCCAAATTGAATACTTATTTGAAACTGTTTAAATCTTCGGTTTAGTATCGTAATTTTCTGGAAACGCTGCACATATTTAAGTGTAATTAAAAGGCAAATTTGGAAAACAACTGGATACGTCCTTTTTCATGTTAATCCGAAATTTAAGGCCGTATTTGTAGTAAAAATGTATTAAGATTATGCAAAATTTTAGAATAATGCTTTTTGCCGAGATATCTGCTTTAATGCTTTACAAATTCAAACCAAGAATCAAACGGTCGCACTAACATAAAAAAAATTAGGAGGAAATTATTTCCAATTTTACTCAGTGTAATTGTTTTCAAACCATTAAAATCACGCAATGCGATAGTAAAGATGACTTAACAAGTTCCTTAATCTAAGATCGGTTTGATCTCCTTGGTTTAATCACAGAGTAAATTTTGGTTTTGTGCACAAATTATCCACTAAATGTTAGCGTTTGTAATTCATGTACACTATACAGTATAAGGCCAAGACGTACTTGCTACACAAGTACCCGAAAATTACAGTACTTTAGAAAGACTAAAAGATGCGAAAGGTTAAATGCTTTGGGAAACAGTTTTGATTGTGAAATGTTTACTAAGAGACAATATCCGAAGTAAAAATGCTCATTTTGACTTCGCAGGTACGAATTCTGTAATTTAAATTTAACCCTGAACTCTTGTGTTACAATTTTCTGGTTGATTGTTTGATTGATATGATAGAATGAACATTAATCTATATATACCACAGTGGCGTACGTAGAAATTTATTCTGGGGGGGGGGGGGGGATCTTGGAACTGTTTGAAATTATGGATTCTACAGGCCACATTCTATAAGAAAATATTTTTTTTCCGGTCGATCGGAGACAATTTTTTTTTCGGGGCAAAAAAAGGCAGTGTATAACCTTCCTTTTTTTCCAAAAATCGACTGCACCAAAATTTCTCGGGAAAAAACTTTTTCTGATTAATTTAGGTGCGTAGAATCCAAAACGATTCGTACTTTTTCGATTAGACGTCTCAATCCAAAGTTATGGGCAAAAAACCAATTTCGACAAAAATTCAAAGGGCTGTAACTTTTGATCTAGTAGTCCGATCTTGGAACTGTTTGGAATTATGGATTCTACAGGCCACATTCTATAAGAAAATATTTTTTCCGGTCGATCTGAGACAATTTTTTTTTCTGGGCAAAAAAAAGGCAGTTATTACCTTCCTTTTTTACCAAAAATCGACTGCACCAAAATTTCTCGGGAAAAAACTTTTTCTTATTAATTTGGGTGCGTAGAATCCAAAACGATTCGTACTTTTTCGATTAGACGTCTCAATCAAAAGTTATGGGTAAAAAAATTCCTGTTTTTAACACTAGGGTTAACATTTTAAATGGTGAGCGTTGCAGTGATACTTGGGGCGAGAAGATTCCTGGGGGTATTTCGAGTAGACCTGGAAACGTATATCTGTGAGGGCGAATTAGGTACTTATTTAGGATAAACTATAAACCGATACAACGAAATATCGAAGGATCCTAGTATTACCACTTTTTTAACGACCATGTATTTCAACCTTGCAAAGTACTGTATATAGTCACTAAAAATGATTCAAATTCGTGTCTAGGACATCACAATAATGGCCTTGGTCTATTTCCCAACGATCTTGGTGCATAAATAACGGTGCATCGGAAGTTGACAGTTTTCACATTTTCATGCAGAAAAAGTGAGACGTATTTCTGATTATTCCTTTGTGGTGTATGGATCAGCTCAAAATAAGCCTAATATTATTGGCCTAGTTGTGTTATTTCGAAACGGTGCAATACTTGCACATTGTGCGGCAAGCACTAAAAACGGATTTAAGATAAAGCTTAATATCGAGAGTGAATACAAGCACGGAAAGGAATGCTAAGGTATCTAGAGAATAAGCCTATAAGTAGGTACTTTGAAAGATGATGGTTTGGTCATCAGAGTTGAATCACCGCTCGTGTCCAAACTTCACCTATCTCTAATCAAAACCCTCTTCCTATACCGAAAAATGGGGGTATATAACGAAGTTTCCGGAATTTTCATTGTTGCTCCGGGATTTTGTGCATGAATCCTGGTGTGTGTGACTCAGTGGTGGAACTTTGGGCTACATAGCCGGGAGCTCGGGTGTTCGAACCTGGATTGAGGTGAATTTTTCATCTGTGGCAGAGATGGGAATTTCCTTAGATCAGTTTCGAGCATTCTGCCGGCTACTACGAATTGGGAGTACTGAGTAGTATAATAGTATATTATATACCGCGGGACTGAAGTAGCACTTTTAATCCCGAAGGTAAAGTTTATGGCCCGACCGAAGGGAGGGCCATAATTTACCTGAGGGATTAAGACCACTACTTCAGTCGCAAGGTATATACGATATTTTTCGTACTTCCGAAACCGAAACACTTAATATGTATGGAGTTAGAGAACGCGTTCTTTCAAAAAATCGCTGCTTAACAAGTTACCATAGGAACGTTGCGTTGGTATGACAATCCCTATGCCATGGTAACAAAAATAATTTGGAAACTGTCATTGCTAGTTGTCATAATTTTGGTGGTGGGTGACAAAGGTGTATTTGATATTGATAAAAAGCGGCCAAAGTAGGTAAAGAATTGATACCACCGGAATCCAAAAAACTATATGAGCAGCAGTACGATGCGTTAAAAGTACCGCATACAAAATGTGGAACAACCTACTGAAATTGCCTTGTTAGTAATTTCATCCTTCCGGGATTTTCGTCTAAATTTAATCCCGGCGGGACAAAAAGTGACACTTCAGTGCTTGTCATAATGGAGTGAAGTTGTTACTTTAGTCCCGGAAGTACGAAAAACAACTTATGCAGAGGCGCCTCTAAAAAGCATCATGCCGGTCACTCTGTAATTGGGCGAAAGCCTGTTGAGAGTCCAGAGCAAGAGAGGGACAATAGTAATCGTGTTATCCTTGATGATAGGCAACCCAAACTGCTACTTTTGCAAAACAAAAAGTGCCTTAGAAAACAAGAAAAGCTGACATTCCAATTTAAAAATAACATCGATCTTTTTGCAAATAATGAATGGTCAAGGCGGAATGTCCAGTTATTGGAATAGCTAGTGTGGGTGCACTAATATTTCACCAGAAAATGTATTTAAAAACCCTGAGAATTGCGGAAAATCTTAACTTATTCAAGGAGTTGCAGACAGAAATCTTTACCTCTGCGTGGCGGGCTAGTGATGCAGAAAATCTCAAAGTAATGAACGAAAGAGTGTCATTCTATGTTTTTAATGACAGCAAAAGTTTCAAGTATGATTTCTGTACGAAAGGTCATTTCGTTATATGTATACAAAACTATGCAGAATTCTTAAATGTTCGGTTGATAACAAATAATTTTAAGATTTTATTTTAATCTTCACCATCGTCTATGGGGATAGACATGTCAATTGACATATTTGATAGTTAAATTAATCAGTTATATTGTGCCATTCAATCCCATTAAGCCATCACTACGGGATTTATTTCTTTGATATGTAATTATTTATGTTAATTTTACGTTAAGAGCGCTATATAGGTGGTGCAGGGTGGTGACTTGCGTAACGCATCACGCATCAACGCATAACGCATAGTAAAATTCATAACATGCGATTATTGGCTCCCCAAATTATTTTAGAGCAAAAATGTATTAAGGTGTTTTGTAGAAAAAATTTTTTTACGCCATTCAACCGTAGTAGTTTTCAATTTTTTGCTTAATAAAGACGGCAAATTGGAAAAATAAAACCCGCATCTTTTTCAATAATCTGTGATGCCATGGAATTTTATAATAATCCGTCATGCCATGGAATGTCTGCTATAAAACAAATGAAATTCTATCAAAAAGTATTATATTTAGAACAGCGAATTCAACATAAAGAAAGACCAAATTACTAAGACCGGTTTCCTAATATAGCAATTTACAATAAATGTTCGAAGAAGTCACCATTAACTGCAAGACAGTAACCAAGTCGATCATAAAATCCAATTCGAACTGCTGCTAATTGATAACTGGATATCTTTTTGTTTTAGAAAATTCCATGGCAGCGCAGATTACTGAAAAAGATGCGGGTTTTATTTTTCCAATTTTCCGTCTTTATATGAAAAAAATTGAAAACTAATACGTTTGATTGGCGTAAAAAATTTTTTTCTACAAAAAACTTTTAATACATTCTTGCTCTAAAATAATTTAGGGGGCCAATAATCGCGTGTTATGACATTTACATTGAAATCCCTATGATGGGATACGCAAGTCACCACCCTGTATAACTAAACACCACACATGTCAATGATACTTGAAGGAAATTTACTACCCTATAACCATCCACTCGTACATTAAAAGTGAACGAGTAATGGGCTACAGGAAAAGTTCGACCAAAACCGTGACTTTTTGAAAATTGACCACCCTCAAAATGTTGGAAAACGGGGACCTTCAACTACACATTTTCGAAAAAATTTAAACTACACGAACTATTTTTTCGGTTTTTTGGACAAATACAGCGCAACCGAATTTTCCACGTCAGTATTTCTTAATGGAAAGCATATAAGTGACATGTAGTCAATTTGTAAAGGATAGTGAAGAAAATGGAGCTAATACTTTCATCCACTGATAGAGAAAGAGAATAATTAAATCCGTATAACTAAATCGTGTACAATACCAATAAACACATCCTTATTCGGCAAGGGTGAAAATTGATAAGCTATGGGGTTGAAAACGGTGGTATACTTACACCTATTCTTTCCTACGAAACAATTAGATAATGATCAGAGAACGCTTACATTTATGGAAAACTACGCCAATTGTCTCCATCCAAGTTCGATGGTATTTTCAGGAACGCAGTCATTTACTCCGAAGACTGTTTACAATTCTTGGGATAGAAAGCGTCAAATTAAACAAATTTAGAGAAGAAATTGTGGTTCTTCTTGAACCGATATTAATAATCGTACTGTTTATGCGCGCAAGGTAATAATTATTCATCCAATTTATTTATAATTCAAAGTATTCAGCATTCCTGCATGGTGATGAGTAAAAAACGGGATTACTGGGAATTGTACATTTTGCAAATAAGGCTAAAGCGTGTTAATTTAAAAGCTATAAAAGAGTGTTCTTCATTTATGCCCTATGGATCCATTTCGCTAGGTTTTCGTGCCCAGAAGAAGAATAGCGATTTGGCAATTTATAACTACGTGCCAAATTATTATTCAAAATATCCAACCGTTCCCAAATTGTGCCGTATAAAAACTCACCTGTATATCCCTTCTCCATATGGCAATTGTCCTAAAATTGCAAAAAAAACTAGTCAGAGCAGTTGAGGTTAGATTAAAAAAAAACGGATCACTTACGTAAAGTGACTCCACCAATTCGCAAAGCACCGACATATTTTTTTTATGAAATCGTCAATTTCGCAACACTCGGTTTTGCACTTGACCCGTACAATATTTAAAGGCAACTGAATTTGGGGTAGAGCAAACTGATAATAATCGCATATTAGGTTAAAAAAAGGCTCCGCCTAGGAATTCCCAGAAAGAATACTTCAATGGCCAATCGTGTATGAGCTTTTATCAGCACCCGTGACGTGATAAGGATGATTAAAAAGTTTTGTTGGGTATCAGAAAAAAACTTCATTTTCAAATTCATTTGTCGAAAACTGCTTGATGAAATTTTTAGAAACCCAATCGCGAGTATGCCAAAAATTATTTTTTTTAAGTAGGTACGATAGTACCTGCACGCATTCGTAAACGAAACGCATTTTGTCCCGATTTTAAACGCAAGTAACAATGTCAGTGCAAAGTGTACAATGGGGCAACTCGGCAATCAGGAGTAACTTTTTACCAACAATTTAGTGCATCTATAATTAAACTCTTTCAAATTCTGCAAGCAAGCTCTTTGTTGAAACAATTAGGGCAGAATATGGACCAGGGAAATTAGAACGCTTTTTCCCTTTTTTTTTGCAAACAATTCGAAATGCGGTTTTCGGCATAGGGTTCAGAGAAATACAAAGAAAAATGTCGTACAATACTGGTCGAGCAATTTTTTTGCAAATTGCGTAAGTGTCACAAAAATGTGTATACTATTACATCATCATTTGCAAAATTATAAATCCATCCAATCCATAAGTACCCTCGAAATTAACTGGGGCGGCTCTACGGAGTGACGTGGGTGAAGTGGAGAGAAAAATTAACAGTACCAGGAAATTGCTTCGAAATCGTTACTCGGTGGTTTTCGCGGTCGCCAAATCTATACTTATGTACCCTTTAAATTGCTCGGAAATCATTGACACTTTTTACCCAAAAGTCACCTCCACCTCATCGTATCGCTACCCCTGAACATTTCCGTGCAATTTCTCGACACTGTGCATTTTTCATTTTGCTGCACCATCGGCATTCCATAGCGCCCGCCCCGGAGCATCCCTCAATTTCGATCCTTCATCCGGTCAATTTCGAAGGCAGATATGGACTCTGCAGCAAACCCCCAAGTAACGAGTTCTAAGCGATTTTTCCGGTTTTTCACATCACATGCATCAGTTTATAACACTATGCCCAAAACCAGGACCGTGCGGTATATTTTTTCAATATGATGCACGTTTCCCAAACGCCGCCCATATAGTCCTTAAATATTTTTTGATGAAAATGACATTCAATTGTCATGCAAAAGAAATTGCCCAAAACGTGAAAACACTAATTTTATTTTAAAAATTTTAAAAAGTACATACACTAAGAACAACAACCTTGTACCCTTCTCCCGCAATTCAAGAGAAATTAATACCAGATTTTTAAATTTTGATTGACTTAAATTTGTGAAAAATTTATTCAAGTTTAGAAAACTTCTGTCGCCACTAGCGGCAGACATAGGGAATGTTAAGAAAATTCTTATAGCACAACAGTATTAGGATAATAAATTAATTAGGATTGTTTTGCCAAAATAATTTAAAACATCCAATGATTTCATGGAAAAGGGTAACATACTAGATATACAGGGTGAAAATATTGTCTGGAACACTGAATATTATCTTCAAAACAACGTTTTTTTTATCCAAAACTATAAAAAAACTGGCTACCAATCTACGCACTTCAAATTTGTGGAAAGTGGCGTACTTCTGCATGGTCAAGGCGGGTTTATTATTTTTTTAATGGCAATGGCTAGTTTTTATTGCATATTCTTGAAGAGTATGTACATTTTTTTGGATATAGCGGCTTAAAAAATTGATCCCTTTTGTTAGTTATGTGAAAGCAATTTATTGTATCAAAAATCATTAAATAACTTAGGTAAATCTACATGCTGAAAAATTATTTATAGTGGCATGCGTCCACCGAGGCGTCTACAGAACTAAGAGAGTTTTTTAATATGACAACAAAAAACAAGATCAAGCTAGTAAGATTATGAGATGAATTAACTATTTTCCTTAATTTGAGATGTTCTCTTAAATTTGATTATGTAGTACAATAAGTTTTTTGTGCTGCTATATTCAAAAAAGTATACTCTTTAAGGATATGTAATGAAAACTAGTGGTTACTATTTAAAAAAATATGCCCACTTTGAGCATGCAAATGTACACCAAGGAACACAAATTTAAAGTACGTAGATTGGTGGCAAATTATTTGTAATTTTGGATACCATAGCAAGCTGCTTTAAAAAAATGTTGTTTTGAAGATATATTCAGTGTTTTAGACAAAATGTTCACCCTGTATAATGTAAATTCTTCTTGCATTTATCTCTGACTCATTTTGAGTCGAAAGGATTGACTCGAGATTACCGTAACAGCTTTCTAACGTTTTGTTGTCTATATCATTGATTTTAAAGATCCCATATAAGCACTGGAAATTTTTGCTATGAGTTTCCAGAGATCTTCATGCATCCATCAATTTTACAACACACCTCTTTAAGGGGTTGATTCTCTCCCCTCAGATCAACATAGCTTGTATGAATTGCGATTGCGCATGCACAAAATAAATTTTTTTATTCGGCATTAGCTGAGGTTTAAGGAATATGGACTGAACTACGTAACTGAAAAACAATAGCCACCTTTCTTATGTCCCTGAGAACACGCGTAGGTACCAACTTTTAAAGCGATCCGACGTTTCCGCCTTAAATAATCGTGCATACGAACAGATAGGCGGACAGACGGACAGACAGACGATCACGGGGATCTTTAATAAACGGCAAAACTCTAAAATTACAGTACATGAAAACTGATTTTTTACTATAATTTTTTGGTAAGAAACGCAGAAAAAATCCTTCCTTTGTGCAATCCTTGACACCATAACGCATCAAATAGTGAAAAAAGCAGAACGATAGCTCTTAAGATAAAGATATAGTAGCGACCGGACGGACGGGCGGACAAAGTGGCCACAATAGCGCATTTTTTTTTATTTTTATGGAAATTCGCTAAAAAGGGAGACGTGGGCGATATGAATAACTATAGACCGATCTCAATTTTATCCGCAATTGTAGAAAGATTTTTATATTCACAAACGGTTGCTTTTTTAACACAAGTTGTTCTGCGACTAACAATTTGGTTTTCGCAAAGGACGTGGAACATCCAACGCCATTATGGAATTTACAACTCCTTCCATTCAAAGATTCCAGAGAGATCTACAGACCGTAGCCACTTTTATCGGAATGTCAAAGGCCATCTTTATAATTTTAAAGACTCAAGCATCGTACTTAACTAACAGAGCGCAGTGCGTTCTTTGGAGAAGATTGCCCATAAAAAAGGGCGTTCCGCAAGGATCAATCTTGGGGCTTCTACTATTTTTAGCGTACTTCAACGATTTACCTTTCCACTTACCACAGAATGTCACGTGCATCCTTTATGCGGATGATGCAATGCTTCTTATCTCAGACAGAGATATCAAAACGGCCTTCAAGATCGCGAATAACAGCATGCACCTAATTAATAAGTGGTCTCAGTTGCGGATTTACCATCAGGTTGAGTAGGGTGGAACCTAGGGCGGCAGATTTTAGGTGGCGGCCCCAAAATTGTTATCTGACAGAAATAAAAAACTTTGGTACAGGGTGGGCTTTTTTCGTTTTGACTATGAGTGTCTTGTAAATCGTAAGACATACGAAGTCGCTTAAATGGGCAAAGTTTGCAGATTTGTATTCTGATCAAGTCTTTTTGTAGCTTTACAAAGAGCGAAGTTATGGCCAAAAAACCGAAAAATGTCATTTTCGAAAACCCGCTATCAAAGACATAAAAAAAATAATTTTAACAAACCCACAGTGATTTTTTCTAAGCTTTCTGATGATGCCAAAATCTAATTTTTATGACTTGTGGATTTCGAGTCAATCACATCAACTGTCTTATTCCTTAATTAATTAATGAAATTAAATTAATTTTTGCATTGAACTTTACAATGTATTTCTTATGGCTATAATTACATGGCCGTGTTGATGGAGACTATGCCGGACAAAAAATATTCAATAATTTTAAGCAAGCCGTGGAATGATTGCTACCGTGCGATCACAAATGAGTTGCTGTCGAGTCACCTTTGGAATTTTTGTTTACATGGGAAATCGTACTTCATCCAAAGGCGACTCGACAGCAACTCATTTTTGATCGCCCGTTATAAGAAATACATTGTAAACTTCAATGCAAAAATTTTAACATTTTTAAGATGCGAAAAAATCGCTAAGGGTTTGTTAAACAAAATTTGTATTTGAAAAGAGATGAACTCCAGGTCGGCAGCGCAATCTCGAAAACCACATTTTTCTGTTTTTTGGCCAGAACTTGCAATTTGTGTAGAGTTACAAGACATTTTGAAACGGAAAATTAATTAGTATGAAATTCTGCATAACTGTCTATCTCTATACGGTTTACCAGATCTCTAGTAAAAATGAAAATCAGGTGTGAAATTCTTGACAGAACATCTTCCTAGCTCAAACCAGATGTATAAAAAAAACGATTGACAATCTTACACACGGTATATTCCGTAAGGCAACCTTAAGCCCTTAATCTCAATTTCGAAAATTTTTACGATTACCTACCATACTTAGGTACTTTGTTTGCAAGTCAAAAAATGTCAAAATGATTGCGCTGATTATTATCAAACCAAATTGGTCAATTCTGAAAGGTTTCAGAATGTGGAAGTTTAGATACATCGGTATAGGTCAGGTTGGATTTTGTCTAAAAAGATATTTTTGCGTTTATTCCGGAATTTTGTGCTTCGTGCCCCAAAGAGAATATTCTGTGATAATTAAATTATGCTTTAGTCTGTTTGAGGCTATAAGTATTAAGTAAGGCACTTTTCAGCGCATTTTGCAAATTTTTGTGTAAAAAGAAAGTTTTTAATATCACTTTCGCCGGCTGGCTGGCTGCCAGCAAATGCATGTCCGTAGAAGAACCCTTGTAGAAGTGTACGTGTACCTCTCGGGGTCGTGTAATTAACAACTTTAGGGATGGGGCTACATGATGTGGGGTCGGCGCCATCCCCGAGCGCGGTGTACTAACCTGGAGATTT